CAAAATGATTAATTTACTGTGTTTTTGTTATTTATTACTCCTGCTTTTAGGTATTCGGTATTCGGCCGAATAGTGATTAAATATTCTGTATTCGGCCGAATAGTGAAAAATAGGCCGAATACCGAATAGTAACCGAATATTCGTTACATCACTACTAAAAATACATAATAAGTTTGGGAACCATTGGTCTAGGCCAGTGTTTCGCAACGTGGGGCTCACGCCCCACAGGGAGGCAATTCGATTGTTAAGGGGTGAATTCGAAAATAGACTCGTCCAGTGTTTAAGTTAGCCGTATAGCCTCTAAATGCCAATTCTTGCTTTGATTTAAAATATATATATATATAACATCTATTAATTTAGGTATATATTTACTCTTTCCGCCCTGGCACTAAGCGGACCTCTTATAGCAGGCCCATTATGGGTTCGGCCAGGCCCACAATGGGACGACAGGCTGATGAGGGACGGGGCCCGACATTGACCCGCCCGAATTTGATTCCGGGTTGTTGTCCCGTATTCGACATACAGAGCTTCCGCTGGAAATATGCATATACGAATTTATATTCGAATATACTCGTACAATAGCAATCTTATCATTTTTCTCACACGTAGTATAGAAATTTGTAATAAGAAACGCAATGCGGTTATAATAAAATATTAATTTTAATTAATCCAAAATACGTTAAAATATGAAAATAATCGTGTAATATGTATTTATTTTTTTAGAAAATACATGGGAAGCGGTGCGCCACTGAATTATAAACAAAATTTCACCTGGATTGCAGGAGTTTTAGGAATTATCCACAACGATATACAGTCGACCCCCCTATAACACCTTAGATTTCACAAATACGTGTGCCGGGCTGTGAACGGCTCACGTATTTGTAAAATCTAAGTGACTCGTACAACACGGAATTCATATAAAACGGAATAATCAACAGTGTTATAGGGGGATGGATTGTACCACGCTTCTAAATAATAATTAAAAAAAAATCTTTAACAACAACAACATTACAAAAAAAATCCAGCAACGAGTTGCGTAATTTTGCAGCGACATTTAAAACTGCATGTGGCGCCATCTGTTACGAGATTTTATTTTAAAAACTTTTTATATTATTAATTATTATAAAAATGGTAAATAGCTTCAATTTGAGGGTAAAAATGAGTTTTTAAAAATTTTTAAATGCTAATAACGTGTAAAATCTTCATTAAGTCCGACTCTACCAGAGATATAACATACGACTCCCCTCTATCTCCCCTCTCTATCGAACTTTAATCACCAAAATTTAATAGCAACAATCCCTCTAATAAACAAACCTCCCAGCAAAATTTCAAAAATTTTCGACAAAAAATACGGGAGTTATTAAATAGTTTCGCTATTGTATATAAACCTATTATTTACTACTTTCTCCTATATACACGTGTTATCCTATATACACGTGTTATCTTTGTGGGTATTATTAAAAATAATATTTTCTACTTACTCGAATAATAAATTCTCTCCGTCCAAAATTGCATCCTTATTCCTACGTATTCGAAATTTCCTTCTACATACCCATAATGCTTTGGTGAGGTTGGCAACAACGTTGCCACAATGAAATTTCAAAACGTACAGAAACTCCTTCAAAAAATGTACTATTTCTATGGTTGTTTGCTCTTGATATTAATATACCATAATACTCAATTTCTGTGCTTATTTGAAATTCATATTCGTGAATACAGTGGGTGTTCGGATTACGAATACCTCACAGAACGAACACAAGAAGAAGCGATGTAAAATAATGAATACCGAATTGTTCGTTAACGATACGTTTTTTATGGGAATTCGATTAATTTGTTTAGGAGATCCCAAAAAATAAAAAAAATATATATCCTTTCTTATTACGTTTATTTATATGTAATAATAAAAATAAATATATACGCAGTCTTGTATTTTTATTAGTAGTGTTTTCTCTATTTGTGGGAGTTAAAGAATCTGTCTAATGTCGATTGCTTTTCTGTCTTCTTCAGATTTTTTACAAGTAATTAATAATAGCATTGTAATTGTAGAGATCTTCAAGCCTATTAAACTTTATTAAACTAATTTCTTTGCATTTTCTCGTTAATTCGTGACATATTATTTTGTACCATAAATGGTACTGAAATATTATAATGTATTCAAAATGTACTAAAACTCTAAGTGTACTTTCAATGTACTCGAAAAAGCAAAATGTATCCAAAAAGTACAAATGTACTAGGAACGGCAACGTTGATTGGCAAATGACACCAGGTGAATGGAATAATGTAAATGAAGATATTATAGGATTAAGAGGAAAATAATAGTTTATTACTACTTTTAATATTTAGAGAATTTTATTACTGTTATATGTGAGGGAAGTTTTCTGTGCCTTATGGCATTACCTTCATTATGTTAATAAATAAGTAAACATAATATGTATATTGTTTATTTATTAATTAAGAATGCTAGAAATTTTTTATTCACGTTGTACGTACAAAGGTATGATAATTTAATTTTCTAATATAATTATATCCAACAGAATATGAGACAGATGCTCAACAGTATTCTGGAAAATGAATTCTAGGCCTGCTTCCAGAAATGGAAGTGCCGTTTAAGTCAGTGTACAGATGCACGAGGAGAGTACTTTGAAAGTGATAATAGACACTAGTGTACAGTTCCTCGTGTATATTTTTTAAAGGTACATTGCGGAAATTAAATTGTCAAGCCTTGTATTATATATATACGTATATAAAAGGAGGAAGTCAAGGAAGCCGGATTCACACTATCAGACAAGAAAATGACACGTCACTAATTGGCAGGCACAAAAAATTATGGAATATTTACATTAACAGACACGTAAGGATACAACGCAACAAAACAATTTGCCAATTGCTTTAGAGTTGCTATGTAAACAGGTTTAGAAATTTTTCTACCAATGACTAGACTATAATATCCGTGTTACTTGATGAAGATGAACCCCAATCAAAATAAAATATGTTCGGGTACACAAAATGTTGAATAAACGCAAAATAGAGGGACGATATCAGACTTCTAAACCAAAGATTCTCTTTTCCATTGTTTTGGTTTATTTGGTTACACAACGCGACACAAGCGATCTGCCGAGAGGAATACCTCCCAGGAGACTTTCGTGGGAAACTGGCCCCTATTTAGGTGTTACAAACGTAAAGAAAACTTGGAAAAAATACGTGGCTAGGCGCGAAATCACGATTAACTGTTACTCGCACTACTGCCTGTTTGTAGAGTGTCGCCATTTTGAATTTTATTTTGACTCGGTTCTTGGTCCCCCGAGTACCTAAAAATCTATTTTTTTTTATGCGCGCAAGATTTGGGCACCTAATACTCTGTGCCAAATTGCAACTACTGACATGTACTCCTTCAAACCTCTATGCTGGGTAACCAGCATAGAGATATGTACGATTTTATAAACAAGACAGTCTTGTCATTAACAGTCCTTGATGAGAACATGTGTAATCTGGATTACTCATACTACAAAAGAAAAAAAAAGAATTTTAAAGTTATCTGAATAAGGATAAACTACAACAGTTCATCTTCTATTTGGACATTTCTCATTTTTATATTGTATATTTATGATTTATAACATTTTACTGCCTCAGACAATTTGTAATGTATGATTGACATAAACAGGTGACAAGAATAAAATGTTCAAAAAGAAAACTTGTGCCAAGTCGTACATGTTATTTGCACAGTGGAGTCCTAGTTGATTGAATAGTAAATTTTAGAAAACCATTGTTGAAAAGCTAATAAAATATTGCAATTATTATTCTCCCATTTCTACATTCCTTATGAGAGATCACAAAAAATCAGACATTATATGTGTCAATTAATGCCTTATAATTAATGTTGAATACCTGTGGGGTCCAAATAGACTCCGGGTATCTGTCATAGAATTATTTGAAAGCTGGAATTTTATTTGTGGAAGTATAAACCAGTCATATTCTGTCTTTTCTTAGCAACTTGAAAAGTAATTTTCAAACAATTTAATATTGAACAGAGATTAACATGCTTAAAAAAAAAAGTGTTGAAAAGTGATTCTGGTGATAGTAAATCAAACTATGGTTGTGCCCTTGTTTGGTCTTCATAGCATATGCCAATGGTGCAAACTATGTAGTGACTTTTTCTTTTTCAATATAAAAATTGACACATTTGTACTGACGAAAATAAACTAATACGCAAACTTAAATATTATTTTAAGATAATATTACTTAAAATGTAATACAACTTTTCAATGCTGTTTTGTTTTCTTGAATAGTGGATCTGTTGACCTTTATTGTTCTGAGAAAACTTGTGCATATTATAAATTAAATTTAATCTATACTGTAAAGTACACGATGATGACATTAGTAACAATTAATTAATAATTATATAGTGACAACATTGATATCAATAAATTATAAATGAGATATATTTTTATCATAATTACTTTTGTCAAAACACGTTCAGTATCAAGTATGCCACATTGAAGTTGTTTTGCAATTATATAACATGTCATTCATGTTAAGCTATCTAATGAAATTCTGAACTGAATAGCCATAGCACTAACATCTTTAGTAATTAGTTTTACTTTACATATCCTTGCATTAAAATAATGAATTAATATTTTAATACAAGAATTCTTAGTTTTCTATTGAAACATTTTAACATTGTTAACAGTTATCAATGGCAGTGCAAAATCATTAAAAAACTGTTTAGTTTGATAATAAAAAAGCATGTTTTTATTCAATCATTTTACAATTAAATATCAATTTTGATTGTAAAATGTAATACACTTAAACAAGACTTTTCTTGTTTAATGATTATTACATTTTACAGTCAATAGAGAAAGGGAAAAAAGTGGATTGACTAAGTAACAAAAATTAAATTCAACAGACAATTTTTCAGAATAAACAATGAGTAACATTATAAATCCGTTTTCTCTTTGTTTGTTGTTTACTGTCATGTCGAATCAGTTTATAAATGAAATCTCTTTATCTAAACGGAACTGTACTTTAGTTGCAATATCTTTTTCATTTTCTGGTTTTAAAATATGTTTTATCTAAAAAAAGATATAATAAAAACAAAATTATTTTAATTTATATAAATTAAAATAAAACATTTATACAGGATGACTACAAAAGAATACCCCAACTTTGAAAGGCTATATTTACAAAATGACAAAATATACACATTTGGTTGACCAATCATTTCAAACATCACATTGTAAAGTTTCATTTAGTTACCATAATTTCATAAATGTTCAATGTGACTGCTATTAAAAACACGAACAATGCCTAATTCGGTAATCAAACTCATTCCACACTGTTTGCAGTTTGTCTGGTGTTAACGGTTTGGATGGCTGCAGTTATTCTCATTTTCAGTTTAATGTTAGCCAGCAGTGGAGGAACAAACATAATCCTTTATGTAACCTTATAAAAAAAATTGCAATGGTTAGATCAAGGCTTCTTGGGGCCAGTGATGAAAAGCCTGGTTGCAAACTGCTCTGTGACCAAGCTATCACTGCGGTAATGTATCTGCAAACAGATAAGTGCCAATGGGGTGGCACTCCGTCGTGTTGAAAAATGAAGTCCCCAGTTTCTTGTAACCATGAAAACAACCAATTGATGAGCATATCCAAGTAAGAAATTCCAGTAACAGTGGCCTCATCAAAAAAGAATGGGCCGAAAACTATATGTTTGGATACAGCACAAAACACATTAACCTTGGAAGAATCATGCTCGTGTTTGACGATTTTACGAAGATTCTCCAGACCCCAAGTCTGCACATTGTGACAGTTAACCTGACCAATGGTATGAAAAGTTGCTTCATTGTTAAAAAGAAGCTTAGACAAAAAAAAGGAATCATCTTCCTCAGTCTGATTAAGAACAAATTCACAAAATTCAATTCTCTTTTCTTTATCACCTTCATTAAGAGCCTGTAACAGCTGTAATCTGTATGGTTTGAAATGCAATCACTTTCTCAACACTTTTAACACCATTGTTTGAGGAATTTGCAGTTCCTGGTTAGCTCATCGAGTTGATTTTCTCAGACTGCAAGCAAATGCTTTCCAAATCCATTGCACATTCTCTTCAGACACAATTGGCCATCCAGAGCTTTTGCATTTGCAAATGCACCCTTTTTTCACCAAACTGATGAAACCAATATAAGATAATCCACTTATCAGGAGATTTAATTCTGTATTTACAATGAAAAGCACATTGAACAGTCATAACCGATTCAGTTTTAGCAAACTCAATAACACGAAAATGCCTTCTATAGTGGAGTCACCATTTTGGCACAAACTAACAACACACACTCATAGTGTGATGAAGGGCATAGTGACATATCTCTACAAACAACTGAAACTTCAGAACATTTCCTACACAATGATTTGTGGAATGGCACTATAAATTCTTTGGTTGCAAAGATATAGCCTTTCAAAGTTGGGATATTCTTCTATAATGCACCCTATATAATAAAAGTCAATTTAATATAAGCTTACTTGGTATTGTAATGATTCTTCAAAAGCATATTGTATGCTTGTATCGAATAGCATCAGCTTCCAGTTTGCCAGAGCCATGATAGAATTTCTCAATCTGGCTATTGTCTCTCGATCACTTCTTGATATTTGCTACAAGAAAGTATGTTAATATCTTTATTTTCAAATAAATAATTGGATTAACATTAATGTGTTGAAAAATTCCATTACCTCTAAACATTGTGCATATCCACCTGAATGCTCTACATCTTCATTGATGACTGGAGAAATCCATATATAACCATTATTACCTAAGATAATATGAGCTCCACATGGCAAATTGTGAAAATGAGTTTTCCTTCTTTTTACTAGTGTTGGGCAAACACATACTAAAGTTCCTTGATTTAACTGATAATATTTTAAAATATTATTTATTAATAAAATTAAAATAATAAAGTTAAACATTGTTATTAATAAAATGCAAAATATAGCATTTACCTTTCCATATTTTAAACTACGCGTATGCAAAGATAAAGAACCATCCGAAAATATGGATTGCACTTCAGCCTGATAAACAATTAAGTTTGAATAAAAATATTTATTGTCTAAATTGTTTTGGTTATCAGTTCAATATTTTTATATAAATTATGATAAAATTTATAATAGTTAATTTTGAAGTGATGCATTTCAAATTGTAAAACTAAAAACCACCACAAATAACTTATTGTGTATTTCTTACTCTTATTAAATTGTCAGACAGTGCAATTTTATAAAATTCCTCAGCAGTGGTCTGGGAAACAGGAGCTTCCAGGAAGTAATGAAACATCACAGGCAGACCACATGTCAAAAGAGTTAAAGTAAGTTATGATGTCATCACTTGGCCTAGCCACATGGGTATGACCCACAGCAGAGGGACTTTATGATTACACTGTATAACTACAAAACAATGAAACAAAGTATATTTAATTATAATATCATAAAATATACTACTAAAAATTGAAATTGCAACATTAAGAAAGAATTGGAATATAATTGCAAAAATTGGAAAGTCAAAAGCAGCTAATGGAAATAAACATTCCTACAAACCCAATGTAAAGAAATAACACACCAACAACTGCCATAAATCATCAAGCTAAATTTGGAATAAATAATTCTAAATTACAAATGAATTTGGCACTAGAGAGAGGTGTTAGAAGCCATCTCATATTAAAATTAATAATTAAATAATTTAGATTAAACTGGAAGAAAATTCGAGTCCCACTTCGGTCTGATTCTTTTCTTCCTGTTTAATCTAAATTATTTAATTAAATATTTAATTATTAATTTTAATATGAGATGGCATCAAATGCCTCCGTCTAGTACCAAATTCATTTGTAATTTAGAATTATTTATTCCAAATTTAGCCCGATGATTTATGGAAGTTGTTGGTGTATTACAGATAAAGGAAATTTGCAAATGATAATAGTTCTGCACTATGGGGTATGTGCCACCAAGCTGAGCAATCTTTAAATGGAGAGAAGTGTATTTTCAGTAGAAAAACAGGGAGGCTACATATGGTCCTATACTGCTGACTGTGTTACCAGATAATTGTCACATGCCAGACCAAAACATGTGCAGCTGATCACAAAATATATCCATAGAACATGTGCAGCTGGCATCACAAAAAGGTAATGAATCATTCACATGCATTGAACTGCTGTAAGCCTCTAATAGATTGCTGCAAGAACAGGTAAACATCTGAGCAAATTGCAAACATACTGTGCACAGTAAGTACTGAGCATGAATGATCACTGTCTGATGACACAAAGAATTAGGCACTGAAACATTCAGATGCATATGTGAAGATCAAATGCTCATGCTCATGTAGAGCATGGTTCATATCCTGTTTACAATAGTGACAGCTGTCATATTTACTACTCTAAGTTAATTGTCTCTGCTCTGCCAAATGGCCCTATAGAGTACTAAAAAACTGTATTTTAATAATTAGTGATCGGTTACCTATGGTGGTATTAAGATGACTGAACAACAAAGTCAGACTGAGTTATACTCTCAGGCTCTGGCAATACAACTCAATGATGGATACCAGCCTTCCTCACTCTCAAGTACAACCTTCTTACCTTGACATACAGTTTTGTGTGCAGCCTGTACTGCACTGGAATGCTCTACCATTGAGAGTATTGCTCACACTTTATCAGTCAGCAAGGTCCCCCTCCCCCTAGATAAGGTGGACCCTCCCAGTGCATCCACCAGACTATAGGTCAAAGAGACCCAAAACAATTTCCATCAATTCCTTTAGTGTCTCCAAGTTTCCTTTACTTACTGTGAGCGTTTGAAGTACTTAGTCTTTGGGCTTGTTCCAATCAATGTGATTACCCAGAGGAGTAGCAACCATCTCCATGTCTGAATTTGGACTTGAAATGGATAACTCCCATGTCCCATAAGGACTTGGATCAGTGTCCAATTACAACTGATTGGAATTCAGCCAACTTCAGGCACAAAGGCATAGGTTGACATACCTACTGTCCTGAGGTTCCAATGCTTTTTCCAGTATGTCATCAATCAGTGCAGTAGAGTACCTTTTATATAACCTGATAAAGTTATCACTATATCCATATGTTATATGTTGTTTGTCAGGAAAGCATGTATCTTATGTTTTTTAAATCCATTTTTGGACAGATGTCTGTATGCTATACACTCCTTTGCAGACTCAAAATACCAAAACACTTGCCTTTCACAGTTTTCTGTCACAAAACGGAAAGAAATCACATGCAAAATCTTATAAATGTGAGGAATATGGAAAGACCTCAGCTCCAATAAAAGTGATTATTGGCAATATAATATTGACACTAAGTGAGGTAGGAGAGTATTGTTAGGGTGGAGAAACAACTTCTCATTAGCAAGTTCTAGACATTTTACACAAACAACAAAACAAAGTTTCAGTCTTGAGAATCCCAACATATGTTTCCTTATTCACAGTTGTTTCTTGAGACATCAATATATGAGAGTCTTTAATGTCAAAAAATACAAAAGCCATTTATTTGTCTTTTGATTGAGCAGTTTGAAATTTCTTTGGTCTTGGTGAGTCAGAATGGTTTCAACTCACTAGATTTCAGTTTCCTCTACAAATCAAAATGGAATATCCAAGTTTCATTAAATGTAATATATAGTTTAGAACATTTTGAGTATCATTTCCAAACCAGTCAATCATTTCCTTGAACAAACTGACATAGTCATTCTGTCAAAACACTTGTCAATGAAAGACTATTAATAAAAACCTGAAAACCTAAAAACTGATAGCAACTGATCTGCAGTTACAGAGCTGGAGAAGATGGACCAATATATTTTCTCACAAATTTGCACAAAAAGAAAACATAAAAATTAAATAATCAGCCCTTGGATTTATATTTATTCCTATAAATACAGGTTTATATGTTGAGAAGTATAAAACAGTTGCCACTAATACAAACCAACATTACGTGCACTTACTATTGCTGCTAAAAATGTTTGTAATTCTATTAAATGCTATCTACTAGAGTAAGTACATATGGTGGTTGTCCGTGTTAGTGTCAATTGTCAACGGTTCCAGATTGTTGGTAAATTAGTATAAAACAGATAATGCAAGCATATTTTATGGATATTTATTATAAAAATTATTTAAAATTTATTATAAAATAAAAAAGGATACACTTATGAGGTCACCTTTTGTTAAAAATTGTTTCATCATCACTTCATCATCTGCAGTTTTTCTTCTCTTTCAAAATAAGGAAAACAAATGCAAAATTAATAATAGAAAAGTTTCATTATTTCAATTAATTTTATATCTGAAATGAAAAACTTAACACATGCATCTTCAATGATATATTTAGACCTAAGAAATTTCTTTATTAAAATGATAATAGCGTGATTCACTATTTTAAATAGTATTTCAAATATTCATAAACTAGCCAAGAATGCCTAGGAACTCAGGGAGAGAGTCAAGTTGTCATTGTTATAAGGTAACATATGTTTCCTGCAGAATGGAAAAGAGTAACTATGCAAATCAGTCAAAGGATTTGACAATTTGTAGGAGATGAAATCAAGGGAAGGAATAAGAGTCCAATACGAATATTTTTTGAAGAATTATATAGAGTAATGATGTAAAATTTGTCCAGATCATTCAAAAAGTTTGAGAGTTGGGGTAGAGAGATGAAATCAGAGGAGTGAAGGATCTTAGTTTTATGATTGTCCATATTTTTCAAAACTAAATAGATAAGATAATAAATTTAAAAACTCCCACAAGCTGATGAAGGGAATTGGCTTTGAACAGAGCAGACCAACAATGATACAATGATGTAAAACAAATGCCATGGTATAAACATCTTGCTCGTGCATTTTCCTTTTTTTTAATATGAAAACAGTATACAGCCTATATTCATCTGGAAGGAATAAACTTTCCAATAGCAAAAGAATTTTAAAAATTGGTTCAGTAGGTTTGGAGATTACCTCCAAACAAACAAACATTAGTATAGATACAGTATATAAATATTTAAAATTTATGTAAACCTTCATACAAGACGGTATAGCAGGAGTTGTGGGGTCAGAATTGGAGTCCAAAGCAATTTTCAGTGGAGTTGGAGTTAGTACATTAAGTAATTAACATTTATTTTATATTCTTCAGTTTTCTAAAATCATTATAAAACTTTCAGTAAAATATTAATAATACAGGTATACCTCGCCTTACGTCGGTAATTGGTTCCAGGAGAACGACTTAAGTCGAAAAACGATGTAAGTCGAAATTACTTGTCTCCGAATCTACTTGCCACTATGCTAAACCATAAATTACCAATTCCCGTTCTGTATTTTATTTATTAATGCATTTTTAATAATATATGGTTAATAAGATCTATTTTAAGCTTACAAACAAATAAATTTTAGTTTTTTAATATAGTACAGAAAAAAAGTAATCTGAATTCACGAATGCATGTACTGTAAATACAGTACATACTTGTATATATTTTAATATGATTTTATGTGCTTTAAACATTTTTCTAGTGATATTACGACTTCAATATTTGTGGCGGACAGACGTAAAGTCGAGTAAAATGACTTAAACTTGATTTTTATTTTTCCATATACTTTTTTGACAAACAACGTATAATCGGGAACGACGTAAGTCAAGGTATACCTGTAGTGCTTTTGACTTTTATTATAACTGTTATAATAATTTTGTAAAATGTAAATAAATTCTAATTTATTTCAAAAACAAAACTAAAATTATCTTACAAGTTCACCTCCCGGAAGATTTACAGATGATAACAATAGAATTGAATCCAACTTAGAATTTGTTTCTACTTTCCAACGTTTTTGTTGAACTTCTCTTATCCTGCCAATAATAACATCACCAACTTCTCCAATATATCTGAAATATAAGGATTCTTATCAATGCTTTTTATTATTTGCTAAAATTTTTCCTGCTATCATCATCCACATATTTTTAAAAATATTTATCTACTTTGACTTTTTTTTAAACTAGAATTTATAATATCAAAGTGCAACAATGCAACAAATGTGTTCTCTCTCTTTAATCTAACAAGTCCAAGTAGACAAATTATACTCAACATATAAAATAAAGGACTAGAAGTATGTATCTTAATATACTAGTAAATTAATTTTAAATTGATTAAAAATAAATCAGATGTTAATTTATAGCAACAAATTTATAAAAAACTTGACAATGTAAGAAGCAAAATAAATTATTTTGATTCATGTTGAAGTTTATTATTTTTAAATAGAAAAAAAAANATTTACAGATGATAACAATAGAATTGAATCCAACTTAGAATTTGTTTCTACTTTCCAACGTTTTTGTTGAACTTCTCTTATCCTGCCAATAATAACATCACCAACTTCTCCAATATATCTGAAATATAAGGATTCTTATCAATGCTTTTTATTATTTGCTAAAATTTTTCCTGCTATCATCATCCACATATTTTTAAAAATATTTATCTACTTTGACTTTTTTTTAAACTAGAATTTATAATATCAAAGTGCAACAATGCAACAAATGTGTTCTCTCTCTTTAATCTAACAAGTCCAAGTAGACAAATTATACTCAACATATAAAATAAAGGACTAGAAGTATGTATCTTAATATACTAGTAAATTAATTTTAAATTGATTAAAAATAAATCAGATGTTAATTTATAGCAACAAATTTATAAAAACCTTGACAATGTAAGAAGCAAAATAAATTATTTTGATTCATGTTGAAGTTTATTATTTTTAAATAGAAAAAAAAAACAAATTGAAAAATTGCAAACCTTGTCTTTAAAGGTTTCACACTTATCAGTTTATTAACCCTTTCAGCAATACCAGCAACAGAAGCAAATAACTTATCATCTCTAACATAAGTTCCATGTCCACTGAAAATTAAATGTTAAAACAATTATTTCATTAAATTAAATTAATATTAATAAAATATACATTTTTAACTGAAGGTCGAAATCAAGTATCGATATTTTCAAATTGATATTAAATATGTAAATTATGTAGGGTTAGATGAGTCAAATTCCTAAACTGTTAAGAAAATAAATGAGGGGTTGCAGAGGGGATGAGAGAGAATAGGAGAGGGAGACGAGTAAGGGAAACGACAGTTGGAGAAGGTGCGAGGAGGACTAAAGGCACTAGAATGTTATTGTCATTTCTATTTCTATTATTATTCCTACAAATATATCAAGTTATATTTCAAAATGAAATAATTTAAGGTTCTAAAAACGTAATCCCAAAGACTTTTAAGCAATAAAGTTTAATGAAAATACTTGCTTTCATAATCAATTTTTATTGTATTTGAATGTGAAATGCTTGAAGATAACTCACTTTATCTTAGTCTGAATAGACTAATAAAGAATAAGAAATATATTAAATTCTGCTAAAATTTATTAAATTACGCAATCATTGGAAAAAAGTAATTACGAACATTTTGCACCATAGAAAATGATGTGCTAATATCTAGAATACATTAACTACTTTAGAAAAATGTGGAGAAACTGATATTCAAACCTATTATCTCATACATCAGATAAATATATTATTTAAACAAAATAAAATTAGAAATACTAATTATCTGTGACCATTTATGTAGTAACTATGAATAAACATATATGTATGTAGTACCATATTAGCATGACTTGGTCGAGTTGATGTCATGCACAGGCGGGAAAAGACAAATATTAGAACAGAAAAAAGAAGGGAACAGTAACGATGTAGCCCGAACGACGATTAATATCCATTTTTTTTACACCCACCATCTGAAGTCCCACATGTATATATACTTGTTTTTTGGTTATTGTATATACTGTATATAATCATATGAAATTCAGGGAGACTAAACGATTTCTGGATAAGAGACTAATCTGATTATTTTTCACTTTTTAGGTAAGATATAGCCTAGCTTTCTAGTTTTTCTTTTTCTTTTGGATAGTTCTGCCACTGAATTTATCTTTAAATTTACCATTGTGTTTAAGTTATAAGTTGTGTGTATTTGTTTCTGTATTAACAGTTACGTTGTATGATCTTGTATAATTTTTGTATGTTTTCTCCCTGCATCACAGTTGTACCAGTATGCTTAAATAAATAAATAATAATAATAATCATATGAAATTCAACCTTGTTTATAAAAATGCACTCTTAGTATTGAATAAAGTTGTGTTTGGGTTAGACTGAAGCAAAAGATACCCAGCTAAAAAAAAGGTCTTAAAATGCATATAAAATGCAATTATAGCTGGATACCTTTACCTTCAGTTCTGATGGTAGTAGTACAGAACAGACAATATCTGGGGATAAAGAGCTAAAGTGATGTTAATGTTGTTACAAACTAACATGGAAAAATTAAATTTGTCAGTAAATTCTTACTTTCGTTTTAAATAATATATAATTATATTTTTGTATCAACTATTTCAATTTCAGTTACTGCACACGTGTGTAATTGTGGAAGTGATGTAACGCTTGACACGTACCCCACCGGTCAGGGAAAATGTCCCCGCATCAGTTGTCCCTACCCGGTTCTTGTGTGTGTGCGTGTTCACACACTAACGACACCATTTTAGCATTTTTAATGTCACTTTTTCTCGTAGGTGGAATGTATTATGGTAAATTAAAGTAATTCGTCTTGTTGATATCAATGAGTGCCCACACATTTCTTAATAAAGTCGTTCTTAAATGAAGCAAATAGCCAGAAATAGAAATCGTTCATAACTTTTAAAACGGTTGATCATAAGTAAAGTTTTTTTAATACCAATCAATTCAGTGTGTCAAATTACATCTATATATATCTACTGTATATATATTCGTTAATGTTAATTCGTTAAGTTTAAGACCTTTTTTTTAGCTGGATACCTTTTATTTCAGTCTAACCAAAATAAAAGTTTTCTATAAATCATTATGAATATAAACAAACTAAATTTAACATATATACTGAACAAAGAGGATATAATAAATTAATAAACACTACCTCATAAATCCTAAACCATTTTCTACAACAACATTCCCAGGTGTTAATAAATGCTTAGATTCGGTAAACGAATCTTCATCTTTTTCTCTTTCGCTCATTAATCTCACGTCGATCTCCATTTCATCAAAATCATATACACTCCGATTTAAAAACAATCAATAACCACGTGTTAGATGTTAGAAACTCTCCGGTTAATTACAATGCAACTGAAAACGCAAGTTTATCTGGATATAAACTGTTTTAACGATTCTAGCATTTGTTTTTACTCTCCGAGTGAATCAAAGAAGATGAACACGTTTTCTGCAATGTTATGATACACGTGGTTGGGAATGTCTTCGTCGCCACATCGCCGTGTTGCCAGATTTCAAATTTCTGAATTCTTTATTAGTGGCTTTAAAATTCTTGGTTCCATTTTTTTAATTTTTATATTTTTTTAAGAATTAATAAATACACCGGCTATGATAATAATAAAAATATTCTATATTATTAATTCTATATTCGTCTTATAAATTTGTGTATCAAAGAGTAAATATGCTTGTGCATTTTTAGTTGTATCTTATAATTTTTCCTCCTAAATTTTTATTCAATTTTTAAGGCCGATGCACACGAACGGCAAATGTAACGCGACAGAGAACGTCAGTGACATTTCTGGAAATTTTCCGATGGCAGTAGGTAGCGCCAGACTTTGATGCTTGTAATTTCATATTTCTTTTGTAAAAATATTATTTTATCTATCTAACTTTTTTGCCGAGAGGCGGCGCAGTGGTGGTGGTTCATTAGACATTTATTGTTCGTACGGGGAGGGCTACGCTTTGGGGGAGGGCTACGCTTTGGGGGGTGGCGACCCCCTCATTCGGAGGGTAAATCTTGCTTTATTGTGATGAGCTGTTCCCACCTATCGTCGGCTGGGCAGATTGGATCGCAGTCTGACAGGGAATCCGATTCTAGGGGTGGATAGACTGTGTCACTGTGCTATAAGAACCACGAGTGTTGTCAGATGGGGGTATGGCCGCCTGGGCGTCCTTTCGCGAACAATTGTACTGACGTTGATGTCGTAGTATGGCCTTTTCGTGTTGAATTCTGGTGCATTGAGGTGAGGAGAATGAATGATTGCCATTGTAATTTATGCAGCGAGTAGACTCTGCTGCACATTCTTTGTTATGTTGTGGGTCCCCACAACACTTACATCTTGGGACACCTCTATAAAATGTTTTGGTTTCTCCCAATTTCCCACATTGCTGGCAGAGTCTGGGACGTTCCTCGTAAGGTTCCACGCGATATGCCGTCAGATAAAGCCACAGGTGATAAGGGAGATCATTCGTGACTAGAGATATTTTAATTGTTCCGGTTGGAATCGTTTGGTCGTCTAGTTTACGGCTAAAACGTTGTACACTAATTGGGAGTTGGCCGTCCAATTTGAGTAATTGGTAGATTTCCTCTGTGTGCAGCTTTACGGGGACGCCTTTTATTATGCCTATGTGGGCATAAGAACCTCTAGTGAGGCTGACAAGCACTGGAATATCGTCAATATGAGAAAGTGTGAGATCCTTTCTGAACTGGCACATGAAGCTCTCACTAGCAATGTGCAAATGCAGCTGAAGCATCTACCTCCCAAACCCACCCACCGAGACAGGGAACACTGTCGAAGATGCCTCAGGAGGAACGACAGTCACAAAATGATGCAATTGAGGGATGCCACCTGACCTCTCCATACAGAACCCAACTAAAACCAACAAAAAACCCAAAAACAAAAATGGGAAGACCAGCAACAACCAGTGCCCATGACCCCACAGACGCCTGCCATCCACACCCGCTCACAATGTTTATGAAATTTCTACAATGGAATGCCAATAGTCTCCGAAATAAAATGATGCAGTAAATGCCGATTGTACATGGGGAAAATTATCAAGTCATACTCATCCAAGAAACCTGGTTCTCAAGAAACTCAATAACCAAAATCCCCAAGGTCTCCAAAACGTGCAGATGCGTTACCGTGCAGATACGCATCTGCACGGTAAGCAGGAGTTGTGGGTTCAAGTTCCGCTCCGGGCCGATTTTTTCTCCCAGCGGTTCTAAATTATTTAAATTAATTAATTTATAATTATTAATGTTAATAAGAGATGGCACCTAACGCTTACCTCTAGAGCCAAATTGATTACGTAATTCATTTAGTAATTAGCCTTATACTAGCCCGATAGATTTTCGGCATTCGGTTGGTGTTTAGCTATTTTAAAAACGTTTACAATTTTCATCTCAAAAATATAACTTTTATTATATATATATTTACATAAATTTGGCAGCATTTTCTAAACAATCAAATAAATCTAGAATTTTTCATTTCAAACAAACAAAAAAAGAAGAAAAAATAAAAATGATATAACAATGTTTTAAATATTCATTCCATAAATATAAGTTGATTTTAATTTTTAAGAAGAAAGAGAAAATGATGAAAATGAATTTTTCTTCCATACTGGTGTAGTAACTCTTTCTGGTAGAATACGTCCTACGGTTATCTTTTCTTCTGGGTTATCTTCTGCCTCATAAAGCTTTAATAATTCTTCGATTGCTCCATCCTCTAACTGAAATTATATAATTTTTTTAATTAAAAACTATTTTAAAGTATAACAATAATTTAACATGATTTCTAATAATATAATGTATTCATATAATATAGTATTACTTAAAATTATCCACATCAGAAAATTTATTTTATAAATTAAGGAAAATAAACAACACTTTATATTTTTATCTTTTATGCTATTATCTGCCTTAAGGTTCAACATTTTGCTTGTATAAACAAATATTCCATAAAAACATGGTCTATTGTCACTACCATTAGAAACAAAAAGCAATTCAACTGAACTAACAATTCATTCATTCATTGATTTGATTACACAATTTATTAAAAAGTACTCATTATCTATATCTTTAAATTATTCAATGCTTTTCTTATATATTTCATTATCAGATCATCATCATCATTAATATAATTTAATATTTTTATTAATGATAAATAATGTATACCTTAGCATTACTGTTGCCAAAATTGCACAAACATTTGATTTTTGGATGAACAGTAACTGAACGTAAATCAATTTTTTTGCTTTATATCTGATAATATAAATTATTCAAATTAAGTAATGAGAATTACTTCTCTGAGTAAAAATCATATGATTTTTTTACATAATTTTCTCACAGAACATAGCAGGTTAAACATTTCAGACTTATATTCACTAAGCTAAACTAATTATAAAATAAAATAAATTTTATTTTATTACTAAATTATGCTTATTAATAGTCAAAAGAGTTTAAAAAAATCAAGCTCTTAACTACTAACCGTTTATATTTATCATAATTAAAATTTAAAACCATGATTTAAGTGGTTTAGTATGAAAATACATTAAATATTTAATCTCCTTTAAAATTGTTAAAAGTTTAATATAAATATTAAAAATACTGGAGATGAAATAAATTTTATGCAGATCTGTTTCTTAATATGTACACACAACACCCAATAATTATTGTTGTTATTTTTTAAACTAATGTTAATTAAAAATTGGCAGTAATAAGAAAACAACTGATATTTAAGATATAAATTCTTACATGAATGAAATGCAATGGTTTTGCTTTATGATGCTTCTCTAGAGTAAGTTTTCTTTCCTCTGCTTTCAGAATATCATCCAGATTGGGAACCGGTTTTTCTTCTTGTTTTGTCTTTTTATTCCATGGATTACCTTGAGATGTATTCTGATCAAATGCCAAATTCATACTAGATTGAAAATAAAATTTCAATTTTAGTTTAATGAAATAGAAAAAGAATTTTGTAAATAATTAATTGATATATGTTACTCAATTTTGAACACTATATTTTGCTTCATAGTCCTAGATAAATGGAAAAAAATATATAATTGACTGTTCACTTCAAAAAATAAAAACAAATGATATCTAAATAAAAGCAAGTAGACCGAATGACCTAATACTAAGCAGTAAATATGTTACACTACAGCTCTGGGAAATTTTGGCTCAGAACCTCAAATTTTCTTAGTAGTTTATAGTAGTTAATATGGACAATGTCTAATTGGTTGCACCATATGGGTTTGACTAAACCCATAATGGGCATGAAAGTAGATTCTTAGTATCCCAGAAGAAGATTAATAAATATTAAATAAACCAGCAATGAGTTGATCAACTTTCCTAGCAACATTTAAAACTTTGGTGGCAATATCTGTTGTTATATTTTTTAAACTATTATAAAATGGCAAAAAGCTTAATTTTGAGGGTAGTAATGGGTTTCATAAAAAATTGTAAATGCTAACAATGAGTTAAATGATCATTAAGTCTGACCCTACTGGAGATGCACACGATCCCCATTATCTCCCCCTTCCTCAACCGTTAATCACCAAACTTTAATAGCATCAATTCCTCTAATACACAAACCTCCATGAAAAATTTCAGGTATTTTCAACTAAAAGTACAGGAATTATTAAGCTTCAAACATCATGAACAAAATCATGCCCTCCACACACAAGCATCCATACATACAGAAATTATCCCCCAAATTTTTTTTGAATTTCTTGACATTTCAAGATGTCCTAAGTCCAAAAATGTAAAATATTGAGGGGTCATGTTTTGACCAATTACCATACTTTCCCTCTTATATATTACAGCCGGGAATGTAAAAAAGGCCATTAGCAAGCTACCATCCAACTTTTATTTCTTTCAAGTAAATAATATTGTTACAACTTCAGAAGCAAACTTTTAATAACCAGAATTTAATTTTTGTACGAAATGTTTTCAACTAATTTAATTAGCCAAAAACATTTATATGTGAAAAATTAAATGTTGGATATTAAAGGTTTAGTTTAAGTTAATGCCATTTAGTTACTGGTTGTATTAATTAATATTGTTAGAGTTTTTAATGAAAACTAAAATCATTTCCATACTATATTTGAACATATATTTTATGTTCAAATATGTTTATTTTACCCATTTGTAAGAAATTATATTTTAATTTCTTACAAATGGGTAAAATAAACATATAATCTGAAGTAGAAAATACACGTTTAAAAATGTTTTATTTTCAAGATGTTTTTGCATGCTTGTTTTCAAGTATCCTTACTCAAAAATCCATAATGTTTTTCCTTCACATCAGGAAGTCCTTTGCAATAGCTTTATGACTCATTCTGTCATAAATTGTGCAGTTGTGCATGCAAACTTGTGACACATTAAGAGTACATTAAATCATGATGAACACTAAATATGAGATATCTGTGACTACTTATTTTCTGTTGAATTGTTTATCAGACCTTTTTAACATTTTTAATGATATATAGTAATAATGCTCTTTACTCAGCCATATCATGTACTCCAAAATCCAAAGTATTCATGATCCCAAACATTTTGAATTAGGATTACTTAACCTGTATTATTTTTTCTGTTTTATATTTGATCTCTTACAATATACATATATCATATATGCAACATTAATGTGTAACTTAAGAAAGAAATACCAAAATGGATCATAATCAGGGACAACCTATATTTTCAAGTCTTTTTTCATTTTAAATCATCATAGAATCAGCAGATTTGATATCATTCAGATTTTAAACATATATTTTAACATTTATACTAAAATTATTTTTATACATTTGTTTTTAAAACAAAATGTTTTCAAATTAATTACTTAATAGATAGTATTACAGTAAAAAAAAAAGTAAACTAGTTAATATAAAAATATTCAAAAGATCTAATTTTTAAAGATTCATCTTTTTATATTCAGAAATAACAATTTTTTATTTAAATTTTTTACAGTACAGTATATTTAAAATATCTTAAAATATCTATACTAAGAAATCAACCTTTCATCCAGTGATGGAAAGAATGAAGATAAAACATTGATGTTGTGTGAAGATTCTTCTTTTATATTATTCTTTGGTAATTTCTGAATGGAGCTGTCTTTCCTAAAATACAACAATCAAATTGTAATTGAATATTCAATTATTAAATTATATCATAAAATCTAAATCCATACCAAATATTAGAACTGGTCGACGTAGGTGAATTTTTTTGTACATATACTTTATTCTTTGGTGATATCATGTCTGTTTTTGTTTTTGATATTGGATGAGATAAACATGGAGAATCAATTTTAATACTAGAAAAAATAATTATATAATAAATTATTTATATTCAGTTATAATTATTAGACATTTTTAATGTTTAATTTAAATAGAAAATATTAATTATATGCAAGTGTTGCATTAATAATTTAAAAGCCATCTTCATGGCATTAATGCTCATCTCTTTCTGTCAATGGCTTTCCTTCTCTTATACATAAGATTTTTGTTTTCCAAGATGAGGAAGAGAATTGATATACCATGCTTCTAAATAAAAAATTAACAACTTAACAATAAAAAATAAATAATACATGTTATGAAGTAATGCAATCTGTAGAGAAAGAAACAAAACAAATGAAGCCACAAACAAACGTACAGACTTTGTTTATTATATTAATAATATATCCTTGTGAAAGTAACAACTCATACAAAAAAGCAAAGAAAATTAATTTTTACAAGAAATTGAAGCCATGTACAGAAAATTGTTTACATAAAAAAGTTTACATTACTTTCCAATTGGAAAAAATGTATCACCAAATTGCTATATTGACGTACTAATAGCAATTAACAAATTAACTATTAATATAAAATAAAAGAGGATAAAATTTTTTAATTTATTAATATTTATTCCATAAATTAAATCACATTTCAATTCAGATTTTAAATGTTATAACTGTACTCACTTCATCTGTTTTCTAGTCACATTCTGTGCACGTTCTTCTTGCATCATGATATCTTTTAACATGGGAACAGCTTCACTAGAAGACACAGTCCAACCAGTTTTTCCAAATAATTTGGACAGTGAATTATTTTTACCAGAGAAATCTGAATTTTCAACAGGAATAACTTTATTGAGATCCTAAAGAATGCAAAATGATGACTCATCAAAATCAATTAAAATACTTAATTCATATAGCAAAATTATAATTACTTCATTTTTTATATTAGAATCTGGTAAACATTCAGCTAACTGCAACTCTTCCATATGAAGATCTTCAGTCTCATTTTTCTCTTTTGTTGTATGTTCTTCTGTGCTGCTTCTATGTGAATAAGTTCTACGTCTTGATCTGACTTTACCTTCTGATTTTAATGGGTTTGTATCAAAATGTAAGCGTTTAAATTCATCATCACTATCTACAGGAAAATTTTCAGCAACAAATTGCATTTCTTCGTGAGTAGGACCCATACTGTAAGGTGTTATAATGCGTTTATTCATCGCCGGTACCTAGAGGAATAGATAAAGAGCAGCACTCTATAAAAAGTATGTAGACCAAAAATATTATGTAAATGATTATTCATAAAATTTATTCTTCTGAATTATCATTTAATGCAAAAGTCTAAAATTGAAATAAAAATTTTAAAACAATTTTAAATAGATACAGTATAAATTCTACTCAATGTTTTTCAATGAACTAGTGAGAAAAATATGTTCGACCATGGAATATGTAAAATCTGAACATCCTTAAAAAACATGCCAGAACATTCAAATACATGTATATGTTACTGTGAAAGACTGAAATTAGAGAATGTTGATATTCTCTGGTGAATGTCAACACATACAAAATGCATCTGTGAAAGACCAAATATTTGGTTATATTATTATACATTTCGAACAATCGCCAGTGTATGTCAACAAGCACAGATAAGCTTTGGTAGAGGTCGAAATGACACCCAAGAAGCCAATGTTGACAGAGAGGCAACAGTCTGTCGCCAAATTCTTCACCGTTTCCTTCTGCTCAAATTGGTGATACTGTACGAATACAAGTCTCTGATGTCGACTGTGGCCGTGCAGATGCCCGAAATGTGTTGGTGATTGTTGTTGGAATAGAAAACTCAGACTTTTATAATTTAGCAAACAAAAATAATACCCTCAAGCAGCTTTATACCCATAATCAGTTCGTAATTTGTAAAGAAAAGTTACTTTCTGTAGATGAGATTTCTTCTCAAGAAATATCGCTGAGAGAAGCAGCTGCAGCTAATTCGAAATGTGGAAGGAAAGGCTATACACACTGTCATTGCAAAAAGAAGAGTTCCATGAATAAATGCAGTTGTAAAAGCAAGGGGCTCTTGTGCAATTCAAAGTGCCAAAACAGTTTAAGTTGTTGCAATAAATAAGATTGTATAACGTTAATCACATAATTTATGTGTAAGTTTATTATTGTATTATTTTCTTTAATGATTTAGAATGTACTGTTTGTTTTAGGTTCAACAGTTTATTTACATATGCTGTTACTTAAGCTTTCTCCTATTCTTACATATTAAAAAGTTGGATTTTTGTCTTAACGTAATAAAAATATTTTTATTCAACATTCACCATCAGTGCATGCTGGATGTCGATATTTGCTGGTGTAAGTGAGAAATGCTGATATTTAGCAAATATTTCGTACATACACGAAACAACTGTGTAAATGCTGACATTCGCCAGATATCGGTCATTCACAGTAACATATACTGTATATACATTCAGAATTGATAAAGTGAAGAAAAACACATTAGCAGTGTAAACAATTCAATTACTTTATTTCATAAAATATCATATTCAATGACCAGCACCTCTAGATATGTTTCACAAAATAATGATAAACTGTTAAGCTATCTTTTGAAAGTGATACATGTTCATTTTTTGCTGAAGATTTGATGCATCTTCATCATACAGTTTCTAAGTTTGAAACATTAACAAACACATTTTTGTCAATATCATCACTGCTATTGTGCATTAAGTACTTCCTTTTGTTTTTTGTACTTGTTGCCATGATGTCCAAATTGGCTGTCAAGGCACCAAAACTATAGCATGGGCTATCCTCTCATTATCAGAAGGTGGCAAAATAATTTCAATAATTTGTTGAACTCTTATAACTCTTGACTATTCAAACATGAAATACAGTACATTTTCCAAAAATGTTATTTGAGATGAAAATTCATCTTGCAATCTAGTTTTTGATGCATTAAATCCTAAAAATACATAAAATCAAAAGACTAAATGTGGTTAACGTTGACATTGTGATACATAAGAATTTGAAGAAACTGAAGAAAAAATACATTAAATTGGGTTTCTACTGTGTTTTTAAACTTTGTTTTCTTCTGTATGATATTTATAGATTAGTTCTATTTATATACATGCAGTATATTGTATAGCTTTAAAAACAGCTATTTTTCAAATATTCTTTCCTTAACTATTTGTGCACTTATAAACTTGATTTATTACAACTGCTGTGAGAAACAGTTGCTCTTACAATTACAATTGTAAAAAACAAACATAACTGAATTCTTAAAAAAAAAATACTGATCCTCATATGAGAATTCATCACTTACTATAATGTGTCATATTAATATTTTTGCATGCTAGGTGTATTATATGTTTGTAAATAAAAATGGTTCAGGTAACATTTAAGGAAAGTTTCAAGTAAAGACAAATGTCACAAGACCTTTCTGTAACAAACAGTTTTATTCAGTCTCATAAGTGTCAGAGGTTTTACTGTATAATATAATATAAAACTATATATGATCTTAAAGCTATTATAAAAATAAATTAATGCATTATTCAAATTGCATTTATTTNAAACAGTTTATCTACTCGCGTATTTTTGTACAAATTTTCTTATGTTTTATTTTTTATGTCTAGTTGGCTGAAGAGGGGCCAATGCCCGAAACGCGTAATGTAAAAGGCGTCCCAACTGAATAAATAGTCAATAAGTTGCCAAGTGTTGATATATGTCACCTTAGTGTGTCTGCGAAGAAACAGATTAATAATTTTATCATTTATAAAAATTAAGAAATAAAACAGAGTCACAATAAGGCCATTATTACTTTCCTAGCCAAGAATCACTATTCTAATTTCATTTTAGCATATTTTGAGACCTTAATACTATATTGTTCCATTTTCTTATATCTATGTTGAGTCCAATTAAACTTATCTCTGCTACTGTCATCACTATCTGAAGCAAAAAGCAATTTCTACTAAAGCTAGTCTGATAGTTTTTTTAAATTTTTCAATTTCTCAAAACTTGCAAAAATGAAGATAGAATAATCAGTTCTCAGCCAATGATTATAATTAGATAACACAGTAAAATGTCACTGTAATGAAACTGTGCAGTTGTCAAAATAACTTGTTATAGTAAAATTTCATTACTCTAAAATACAGTTAAATGCCAGAATACCAAAGAAAAAAAAAAAGCTTTTATACCTTTAGAACAAGAAATCTTTAAAATCAGTTTTTCTAATATTGTTAGAACAAATTTCACTCTTTAAAAATTCCATAAGACATCACACTTAATCAATATTTGTAAGTTTTTGCAATTTTCTCTCTTTCAATTCTGTGAGTACTAAGAGTCTTTTAACCAGATAAACATTGAAACAGTATCCATTGCCAATTAAAGAAAACTAATTTATACATTTACAGATTTTGTTATAATGATTATTTTTGTTGATAAAGAGTTAGAGTTATACTTTTGATATGTTAAACTAAAATTTATGTTAGTGATATTTATTTAAATATTTTTACATTAAGCTGCATAGTAAATTGGCAAGGAATTAAAAATAAATTCACTATACTGATAATTTGATTGTATTGGCGTTTGTTACAACAACATTCTACTGTGAACACAATAGTAAATTTTGTACAATTTTGATATACAAACTTTTTCTCATCAAAATTAATGATAAACTTCATTCAAAGCAATATTTTATACTATTTGAACTTCTGAAATGCTCATTTAATTATAAGCACACATTAAATTCATTCTAAATCAAAATCATTTCAGCATATCTTTTCACTGAAAATGATTTATCATCATTTCTAGTCATCAACTACACTTTTACAATATTGAAAATTTAAAATGTAAATAATTATATAATATTCATTTGAACTTTTAAACTGTCATTTTTTTTTTCAGTCTTTGGTTATATAAGTGTTGTCTTGAGCCATATCAGGTTAAATTGTTTTAAATGTAGTATAGAATTATACTTAAAATGCTAATACAGTAGAGCGTCGATTATCCATATCAATTGGGGACTGGGGTTGTTTGGAAAATCAATTTTTCGGATAACTGATTAGGTACGAAAAAATACATTATTAATATAGTATATTAGTATATCTCAATAATAGTATATTAATATGTCCCATGTTTAAATTTTTCTCCATTGTGTGTCGCTTTGCATTGAATTTTCATCAATGTTAAGCGTAACGAAAATTTTTATAATAATAATCGTGGCTATTGTATCATTAAAAATTATTTCTTTATGTTGTACAAACAAAATAAATATAAAAAACAAAAAAAAAAAATTATACTTTAGAAGTTAATCTAGTATCAAGAACGTTCGATTCAGTATGACAAAGTCAGACTGGAATGCTTTTGGTTAACAGACGTTTCGATTGATCGGCATTCGGATAATCGACACTACTGCAAAGATATTATGTAAATATCTGTGCAGAAAATTGTTTTAAAATAAATCCATATAAATTATTTGAGTTTGACAACTTATATGGATCTAAATTAAAATAATACTGATGCCTTTATACTTGGTAGCATATTGGCAAAAATATTTCTGGCAAAATCAATGGTGGCCATCATCTGGTTTTGACAATAATATACAGGAATTAATGTGCACAGGGATGTACAGTACATGTACAACAATAACACAAATCACAACATATGACGTATAAACTGTATATCATGCATTCTTGGTCTCTATTATATTTCCAGATCAACTTCATATTGAAGCAGGTTTTAAGATAAATTGACTTTATTGATCATAAAAAAAAAGTGCTAAGCAATTATTTTTTCACACAACTTACTACTATTTTAGAATGTGTAGATTAAAAGAAATAAAGTCTCTCATTAAAGACAGTTCATTAAAATTCATTATGAACATCATTAAAAATTAAAATTGATATTCTTAAAATTCAATCAAATACAATAGTTGGCAAGTAAAACTATCAAAAGTTGAATTCAAAATATTTCAAATTCTCCATATTTCTTTCAAAAGATAGTGTATTAAGTTACTATTATATAATATAATATTAAAATTATTAATAGCTACAAGACCATATTAGTTCGGCTACATAGTTTAATTTATTTTCCAAAAGTTGAATCAGATACATGACAATCATCTCTTTTTCATCTGAGATTTATAATATAATTTGTAATCATTCTTTCTTTATTTTTTTTCATATTTTAACTATTTTTGGTTTTATACTGTATTTAAAGTTTCATTCATGACTAAATCACAATATTAAATAGTTCAAAGACATGCACAGTAGCTATCTATTTTTAGTATTGTTATTGTTTGACAAAATTATCAGCATTCATTAGACTGGATTAGTTTAATTAGTGAATTTTCAGGTATTTTCTCAATAGTTTAAATCCATCAGTAGTGTTTAATAATGTAATTTACTTTTTGCTCTTTTCAGATCATTGTTAAGTAATATATTTTTTGAAAATATACCTACAAACATATGATATTTATAATGAGTATATATAATTTTAGTGCTTTTAAATGAAAGCATTTTTGTTTAATTGAAATTTAAGTTTAAAAAAACTCAAAACTTGTTTTAAAATATTAATTAAATAAAATGATTCAAAAATTTTAATTTTAAATTTAATACAAAGAAGATTCAATTATGAAAAAATTGTCAACATTTAAAAATGTTTTTAAAAATTTATTAATATTTATTAAAATTATAAACTTTAAAATAAAAATATTTGAAAATTTATTTTAATTATATGTACTTTAATACCATGTATTAACTAAAACAAAATATCTTAAAAATTAAACACACTTACTAATTTTTGATAAAATTTTGTTAATTCTTCCATAGCTTCATCACTGACAGCATTTAAATATCTATATATAAATTCAATTTTAAAATTATGGTAAAATATCATTAACACTGCATAAAAAATAGCTTTAGACAGATAAAGAAATTACCCATTTTCTAAAATAGCAGGCAAATTAATACAGATATATTCCATACAAGCTAGTTTCAATTGGGGTGCATTGTAGACAAATGAAATTTCTAATAATTCTGCAGCATTTTTTAATGTTACTGAAAATTTCATAAAAATTTTATAATTTTTAAGAATAAAAAACAAATTTTTAGAATTTAATTATTTTAGTCAATTTAGAATAGCTTTTAATGTGAAACATTTATGTAATACAGTATGAATTACTATGTGCTTACACTAATTAAAAAAAATAATATTTTTGATAAATTGTCATAATCAACACCCTGTGTTATAACAGAGTGTTGATTATAACAGGGTAATTTATATTTCATGTTTCTTATACATTATCTTCTCTCTGCTCACTGGAAACATTTTATAGCTCACTTTCAAAAGTGCCAATGTTAGAAGATGTTAATCAGTTTTCCTAATAAGATCCCTTATAACTTCCATTAATAAAATGAAAAATTTAATTTTATCACAAGGTACAGATCATCAAGTGACAAAAAAGTCACTTCTAATTATGTAAATGAAAATTATAAAGAAAACTATAATTAAAATTGATTCCTGTGCGTTTATAGCAGATTTTTGTTTTTTCCCTGAAAAAAAATATAAATAAATAATCCAAAACACAGTGGAATTCCATTTATCTGGATCTTGTTAATCCAGATTTCTGGTTTTTCTGGAATAAGATGGATAGATATACGGAAAACCTATGTAAGTGAAAAAAAAAAAACAAAGAACTAACTTGTAAACAGTACATTCTTGCCTGAGTATAATGTTGCAGCTGTAAGAATACTGTTTTCCCTTGGATCAATGACAATTTTTAACACCTGCAACACTATAACTGAGCATCTGATAACAAAAATAAACACAGTATAGTATATAATTACACAATTATACACAATTACTTGGATTCAAATTAATCCTTTGGTTTCCCTATGGAGCAGTAAACCTAATTACCAGTTGACTTTGAAAACGGTCATAGAGAAGTTCTACCTCACACAAATGTTCAGAAAACTTATGTACATGTACTGTACTGACTGATAGAAAACAACAAACTGATACTATACAGCAGTGGTGGGAAAACTATCATTTCCAACTCCCATTTTGTGTAAAATTTTGTCATGACTCCTGATAGACAGTAGACTTTTCTTAGTTGTCAATGTAGTTAAAGTGAAATTCTTTCTGGGATTTTTACTTATGTTTCTGCCTTATTAGAGGTNATTTATTGCACATTATATATACTTTTACAACAATGTTAACAGTACAAAGCAAAAGACATATCTATGCTGTACCAGCTGATAGAAAACAACAAACTGATACTGTATAGCAGTGGTGTGCAAAAGTGCAAACCATGGATCATGATCCCCAGAGGAGTTGCGAGAAAATTTTTTTGGAGTGACCAAACTCAAAGAAATTTATTTGACAATAAAAAATATAAGGTGCTTCTTCAACAAGTATCAGGTACCAGTAAAATAGTAAAATGAAATTATATTATTTATAAGAATAAAACTATATTTTTTAATGAAAATAATTGTCTGTATTAGGTACTAATACAGACAATTATTTTCATTAAAAAATATAGTTTTATTCTTATAAATAATATAATTTCATTTTACTATTTTACTGGTACCTGATACTTGTTGAAGAAGCACCTTATATTTTTTATTGTCAAATAAATTTCTTTGAGTTTGGTCACTCCAAAAAAATTTTCTCGCAACTCCTCTGGGGATCATGATCCATGGTTTGCACTTTTGCACACCACTGCTATACAGTATCAGTTTGTTGTTTTCTATCAGCTGGTACAGCATAGATATGTCTTTTGCTTTGTACTGTTAACATTGTTGTAAAAGTATATATAATGTGCAATAAATAAAATATAATATACTGTACTGTACATCTAAACTGTGTTATTTATATCATTAGCAAAATTTTCCAATTATCCAGATTTTCGGTCATCTGGATTGGGCCTGTTCCATTTGAGTTGGATAAACAGGGTTCCACATAACTGAAGTTAAATAATTAAAGTAATATCTTGACATATTTATAAATGTTAGTTAATGCTCTTTAAGTCGACTGTGTATATTTCATTACCCACATAATTAGTTGTAAAGATCAATCTTTTAAGCCAGTATTAATCTTAATTATCAATGCATATTTGTTTTGGTACAGCCACTAAATTCACTTAAAGAACTTATCATGACTTTTTTAAACTTTAGAAATTGTTACACTTAAAACTTCTTGAAAACAATTTTTAAAATATGTTAAATTTATTTTATAAAATTCTTACGAAATTTTTGAAAAGATTGTCTTATAAATTTTAATTTTTCATATTCTGTAACTAAATATCTTTATATATATCTAATTTTATCATCAAAGAGTAATATATATTTTAGCATTGCAACTAACAACATCCAGTAGTCTAGTAGATTCATAGTTTGTTACATGACTGTTTTAGTCATACAGTCTCAAGTAAAAACAATTTTAGAATCTGAACACAAGTGTAATGGTTTTATTTCAGTCCAAATGATATCAATATAATATAGATGTGCTAAATGAACTATTAAACTATGTAAATCAATTATATGTGATTTCACTTGAAGCCATAATTCCAATATAATATATTCTAATATATATTGAAACTTTTGATTCTATTATATCTAAATTTCCTATAAAAGCATACAGATGCACTTGTTACTTTTTGCAATTTCAATTAACACTCAGTAATTTTATTGGAATGTCAATTGTATAAATAGACTAATTAGTATTGATATAAATAGCTATATATAATATAATTAAAATTATATATATACTTACTTAAGTCAACTAAAGTTAACTCACAAATGGCTTTAAGTCTATCAATTAATAGAAGATCAGCTGTCATTAAAGTATTGCATATGAGATCCAGATTGTCTGAATCTAAAAAAAAAAATTTTTAAATAATTAAAAAAAACTTATTTTATTTGTAACAAAATTATAGAGTAATCTAATTATTACCTACCATAAATTTTAGATACATTATCAGCGTACAAATAATCCAGTATTATTTCTAAAATTTCAGATTCTATTGAAAGTGAAAGCTGATCCAATGACGAAGACTAAAATAAAGTAACAGTTTATGTAATATTTTGTGTGCTAAGTATTATAATTATGATATAAAATTGAAAATGAATTTAATTCACAAATAATAATAATAATACTGCATGAGAAAAATATAATAAATTAATCATGCTTTATTTTATCACACTTTATTTATCAGAGTAAAAAAAGCGTTAAAAAGAAATTATTTACAATTAAAATTTGCCTTTAAATATTCTACATGAATACATGCAAAAGCTGTTTAGTCACAGCAAATAATAATAATATGTTTGATTAAACAACTCTTCAATAAAAATATTGATTTTTTATTGAGTTTGACTAAGTAGAACTTGCGTGTATCCTACTGAAGACCATTTGAGAAATTCATTAACCTATGAGAAATTACAACTTTACATATAAGATTTTTTGAGCCTTTTTTGGACAAAGGTTGTGTTTTGTAGTACATAAAATATGATTCATAATTTGTTGAAAAAACTTTAAAATTTCAAAGCATTTTTGATAGAATTTTTTAAAAAATTTAATGTTATATCTTTGAATTTTATAAGTGAAAAAATTCTAGATGTAATTTAAACAATTTAAATAAATTTTAACAGAAGACATATATTTGATACTAATGCATTAAAATAATACAAATAAAGAGTGCTAAACATTAGCAAAATTTTGTTAAGTTTCCATATCTTTGTATATTCCATATAAAAACAAAATTCATATCTTATATATGAATTTTGTTTTTATATGGAATATGTTAAGATAATTTCTATTAAAATTCTAAGAAATGAAATAAAAAAATTCATTAAAAATAAAGTTTAAAAATTGTATTTTATTAATGTAAATAACTCTTTTACTATTAAATAAATATATTATTAAGTTACTATGAGTGTACGATTGGTATATATAAAGAGTTTCCAGAATTTTTCAGAAAGTGTAGAATATTACTGTATTTAAACATATCTATTTAACTGACCTACATCTTTATAACTGTAATGTTAAAGTGTTGAGACTCAATACATAGATCTTATGTAGATGCTACAGGATGAAAATCTAATAGATATGAAACCAAATGGGTGTCCATGCCCATTCATTTCAGGGTTAACTTTTCAAAAAGTTCAAAAGATTGAATGAGAGTTACATATTCTGAAAACCAAATGTCTTTTCAAAGTTTATGAAAAATAAAAAAAATTCCATAACACTTCAAAATGAAAAATCATTCATTAGAAAATTATTTTTTCTGACCAGAAAATAAAAAAATAAATTCAATGTTAAAAAAAAAGTGCAATAAACATACAATTCTCATATATCAATCTAGCAATTAGAATTATATTTTTATTACTTATGCAAAAATAAATGCATTTATAATAAAATACAAAAATTTAATAATTAATATCAACTTTATTCAATACATTAAAAGGAAATGACATTTATTAAAGTTATGAAAAATTTTACAATTAAAAAATGGCCAAAATTATCAATTTACAACTATGTTCCATTTATAAACATTTTAAAGCCAAATATTTTATAATCAATCCAAATGATTGCTGGATTTAAATTGGGCTACTTACTACTACTATTAATAATTAAATACTGAGTAATTTGATACTAGATGTAGGCATTAAACATCTCTAGTATCAAATTACTTGGTATTTAATTACAGGGATTGTGCTGCATAGTGCCAAAATTGCCATTTAGCAATATTTTTATTAAAATGGCAATAAAAATATAATACTAGTGATAAAAACTGTAGTCCAGTTATTTTGACATTGTTCCATTTATTGAAACAATATCAAAATAAAAATTATACATAAATTGAAAATTTTGTATAATTTTGAAATGTTCAAAATCATATAAAATTGGGAGTCCCATGCACCCCACATCTTGCAATGTCATGACATCAAATGGAAAGTTCAGACAGGAAAGCAGATAGAGACATTGAGAACCAAAGACATTTTTGTGCTGCCCAGATTTAGGACTTTTTTTTATCAACCGACACAAGATTTGAGGAATTTTTGGGGGTGACTTTTGCACTTTGTACTTTTTTCAGTTGACTAAAGCATAAAAATTTTGACATAAAAGAACCTTTTAAATAGTATTTAAGCATTGTGATCAAATGTGTTATTTAGAATTATTCATTAAAACATTATTCAAAATATAATTTCTATTTCCAAGTGACAGCTTAACATATTACTTTCACTTTCCAGATTCCAAACTGATAAGGCTACTAGCACCTGCATTAATTAGTAAGTAAAACTGATGGTGATAAATAATTTCAAGTAGCAAAAAAATGTTTAACTGGTGAAATGGTTAGCAATTTTTTAAATTTTCTACAGCAACTCTTGAATTATTAATAATAGCAGTAAAGTAGCTTGATTTAAATCCAGTAATCATTTTGGTTTAATTATGTTCCATTATTGAGATGACTTCTACCATCCACATAACTCAACAAAAAGAGCTTCAAAATAATTTATCACATTTTCTATAAATTAAGTTTATTAAATATTATTTTTAACTAGTTTTGTGCACTATAATATAAATTGTTATAACAATAAGCAGAAGTCAATGAACTTAAAACACTGACTTGGATTGTTGTTATTTTTAATTTTCCCTTAAAATAAAATGTTTGCAAAGTTTATTACTTGGAAACATTTAATCTAAGGGATAATATTCACTAACTTATAATTATTCTATTTTAATAATAAATAATCATAATGCATATTCAACTTACAAGTCATTTTTCAGATGTTGAATACAATAGTTTGTATTCTGTACCTGAGGAATGACTTTTACAAACATTTTTGATCTGTTCTACATGTTTAATAAACATTTTCTCTGCAAGAATAAGGTGTTTTGATATTAATTATTTTTATGCTAAGGGTGGTTTTTGGCTAAACTAAGATCACTATTAATTATATGAAGTTATTAATAAAATTATAATACCTCAATCCAACCAGATCCAAGCATATTATGAAAATATTCAGATCTTGCTACTAATACACAACGATGACAACTAAATTCTTTTTTGTCTGCTGATAGTAACTTCACATCACAGAGATTAATTCTTAAAAGAAAGTAACTAAATTATTAATGTTCATTTTTATTTAAGATTTTAAAAACTTTACTTACAGATTTTTTCGATTAAATCGTAATTTTGAAACATTAGGAAATTCAAGAACTTTTATTTTTCCATTAACTAATTTTACACTTTTCAATCTGTCAAAAATAAAAAGTTTACATTTTATTACTATATTAAATATTATATTTTTAATATAAATTTTAAAAAAAATGTAATTAGCAGCCCAAATATCAGTATAAGTTAACTTTTCATTATTAATTTTATTTGCATGTAAAAAATTAGCAATTTGCATTAAAATAAAATTTTAAAAAGTTATTAACATAGTCTTCATAGCTTTCCTCTTTATCAAAACATTCATTGTCATCATTCCTGTCTTCTATTTAATTGTCATCATTCCTGTTTTCTATTTAATTGCCATCATTCCTGTTTTCTATTTAATTGCCATCATTCCTGTTTTCTATTTCATTGCCATCATGGTCTTCAGCCTCCTTGAACAGCTTGTTTAGGTTCTGTTCAAGGAAGCTGAAGACCATGAGCCTCCTCTGTTCTGTCCAATGTTGGTAATACAACATTAATTAAAGTCCTTTATAACTGTCTTGTCAAGAATCTTTCATAATTCTACTGTTCTAACTTTTACAAGAATATGTGGAATTTTTATCATCTTTTTTCATTTGATTGATTATGAAAAAATTAGTAGTGTTCAATTATTTTTTCTTCAAAATTTAGTTAAAAACAATTTTTAAAAGAAATTTGTATTTACAAATATCTGAGAATCAATCAGAAAAATTAATTTTTGATCACTTTCTTAGTAATTTTTACAAATTGCATTTCATTAAAATCATACCTGACTGACTGGAAATTTGTATAAAGAAAAAATTTGTTTTAAAAATATAATATAGATGCTGATACATATATTTCTAAGTGACATGTAAATTGTAACTTCTTTCTAATCAATATCAATAAAAATAAAAGTTATAGAGCTGTTTTATACACTTAGCAGATTAAGCTATCCAGCATATAGATCATGTCAGTGGAAATAAGCTTCGTTGCATATTTCATGTGTATTCTGGAAAGTCTACTTGCAATTATATGATTACTAAAAACAAAACTGAGTTATTACTTTTGTTTTTGCTTGACTTATTTTTTCTATAGCTGGCAAAAACAGTTTTATAAAATCTAAAAGATGTAATTATAAATTCATATATTCAATATGATTATAATAGAAATTTACACTTTAGAATAAATTTCATTGTAAATTTTCAGCAACCTACCCCAAATTTTGACAATTGCTTGGTTAATACACACTCCTAGAATAAAATAAAAAAGTTAACAAAATAAAGTTTCTGTAAAAGTTACCAAAACTGACTGATTCTATTGAACGCAATAAAAAAACAATCACTTAGTTTAATCAACTATTCAAAAACAATTGACTAATTGATTATTTACAATCATTCCAATCCCTTAATTCTCATGCATAGTTTGTAGACTGCAGCATGACAGGTCTCAAACTTGTTGGCTTTTAGCACTGCTAAACAACAGATGGACCATATTCTTTACAATCCAACAGGGAACACATTTCAGAATCAAAGAAAATGGTATCCAAAACTGAGTAAACTTCAATTTTTAAGTTATTTATTTATTTTTCTATAGGTTATCTATGAACAATCAACACATCAAATTTTAGTATCAGTTTAACTCTGTAGAATATATACCAAAGACAATTATCAAAATCAAAGAAAAATTTAACTGGACTCAATATAAGTCAAGACTTAAATATAGGTTGAGAGCATGTTTATGCCCCTTAAAACTAGAAAAAATAGAAACATAAAATTCATCTGGATACGAGTCCAAGTTTACTTGCCAGTTGTTCCTGGTGATTAGACATAGCAAATAAACTTGGACTCGTATCCAGATGAATTTTATGTTTTATTAAATTGTAATTCTGCCAGCCCATTTCTACAAACAAATATTATATTTTTAATTGTGTTGGGATTGTCACCTGTGGACATTTTAAACTGTTTTACATATTTGTGCAGAGGCATAGCCTCTAAAGAAAAGTTGTCTCTGCAATGGAAATAGTTGTTCCTGGTGATTAGACATGGCAAGTAAACTTGGACTCGTATCCAGATGAATTTTATGTTTTATTAAATTGTAATTCTGCCAGCCCATTTCTACAAACATAGAAAAAATAGATTATTTGACCAATATGGTAATAAATGTAATGATACTTGTAAATATACAATAATACTTTAAAAAGAGACAAATAAAATCAATTCTTCTACACAGAAATAGATAAGTACAAAATATGCATAGTAAAACTTAAGCTATACATTTTGCACTTACATGTTTTATTTGACAAATTCCACAATCTCTATAATCTAATATTATTGTCTTTCATTTATTCATTTTTCTTTTTAATACATTTAACTTTTCAGTCTGAACACCATACAAAAATTCACTTAAGTTTTCTTTTACTTTTATCAATTTACCAAGCAAAATGAAATATTTTTCAATAAACTGAAAAATTTAGTTTTGGGTATGTTTAAGTTTATCACCTTGCAATTTTTTATGATTGCCATTTTTCCTAAAATGGCCCTCTTTCAGCTGTAAAAACTGTGGGTATTCATAAGGGAGAGGTTGTCATTTCATGCTATAGGAGAGATAAGAACAACTACAAGTTAGACAGTTTTTAAGTGTAGGAAGTTTAAAAGAGTTGTTCAAATACAAAGTTAATGGTTATATCATTTAACTGATGATAATAAAATCAAACTGATTTTCTTGGATTCTTGCTCATTTAAGAATTAAAAATTGAAATTATGCTTTAATTGTGACTAATAAGTTTCAACTGTAAATAATTTTGTAATTGAATTTGAAAATTAAAGTTTTCCAAATTTTAAATTTCATATTGAGATTGGTTAGTAAAACTTCAGATTACTAATAATGATTTTAAAAACAGTATAAAGGCAGTCCCCATTTTGTATCTTTACTTTCCAGCAAAGTTTCGCATCTCTCATATCTTTTATCCTATCTTTACTTTAAGAATATTTGCATTCACTGTGTTTTTCCTCAATGATTAAACAGACAAGATAGCTTTATGAAAACATTGTGACTAAAAAATTAGCTTTTATTAGAAGAATAGAAGTGAACTCAAAGATATCTCATGTGGAACTGCCTACAGCTAAGGTTTTGCTGAATATACTCTCAATAGCAATTTATTTTCAGTGAGAAGAAATAGAAGTATGTGCTTGTTAGTTGGGTATATCCAACAAAAGCAAATGAGCGTTCAGAATGAAAAATTTATTGGAATGACAGGTTCAATGGTTCAAAACAAATTTTGGTAAAAATATTCCAATAACTGGCTCAATGGTCATTAAGAAAGCAAGAGAATAAGCTAAAAAATGAAAAGGGAAGATTGTAGTGATGTTCCACTACAAGTTTCTTTTTTAAAAAGTGCACTTGATCTTAATCACTATCAGACACTTAAGCAATGTATTAAGCAATGACACAGAACAAAAAAAATTAAAATGTATAAATGATTTGGAACTAATAGTTCCAAATCATTTATATAAATACAAAACTAAAATTGCTGGAGGTTTTAAAATAATTTACTACAATTTTTTATATTTTATCATATTTATACCTTACTTTTTTCTGTTATTTTTGTAATGACTTTGTTATTTTCTTTGTTTTATTTGAGATGTTGAAATTTATTATTTTCTGTGTTTAATCAACAACAACCATTTTGGTTTTATTATTATATGTATTATATGTATATATTAAATAAATAAATAAATAAATAAAGATTATATTTGTCACTCTACTTCAATCGTTTCTCTTTATTAGATACATATTTGTAGCTTAATACTTCAAATAAAAAACAATTTTATTTACTGCATTTGCTTTTCTGATATTAGATTTTTCTCAAGTTACAATTATACTTAATATTGTATTCAAAGATGTTTAAAATCAACACTTAGTCAATTTGTAATGTGCACAAATGATATAGCTACCCTTTTGAACTTGCTGTTTAGTCTGGCTCATAAAAAAGAGGCAGTTTCCAGTTATATTGTACATTTTTTTTTCAGAGGTTCCTTTCAAAAACATAACGAAGGTTTTACTGTATATTATTTTAAATAATGTTTCACTAAAGGTTTTCTTATTTTGTATTTACTTGATCATTTTGCTCAAAAAATTTGATGAATAACTTACCTTTTGGAAAGATGAACTAGTCCAAATTTTTTACTTGCATCTTGTAAATCTATAAGTGGATTTTCAATAATTGTTTTATTTTTATTTTCTTTACAACGTTTTTTATTTTTCCTCTGAGCAACCTGTAATAAAACAGTCATTAAATCTAATTCAGAGCTGCTGTTCAAAAATAACAAACACACTCAAATAACCTTGAAAACACAGCAAAAATTTTTGCTGTTATTTGAGTGTGTTTGTGAACTATTAAATTTTAAGTAATAAAATTATTTAAAATATACAAAATGCATATTATTTTGTATATTTTAAATAACTTTATTAATAGTGAATAATTAATAGATGGATTGTTGGATCTAATTTTATATTTTACTCTCTTTTATGAAATATAATGTTTAATTCACTTTGTAATGTTTATTTTGGATAACTTAAAAAACTTCAGAGAATAATAAAGAAATATTTAAAATGTTTTTTAACTCTTACCACATCAAAATTACTGTTTAAGATTAAAATAATAATAATAATTTCAGTAAATATTTATGTAACTAATATATATATATATATATAAGTTTGTTTAGTTTATTTCTTTATACAGCTAGTATCTAGTATACAGATGGTAATTACAAACTAGACTCTCTCCAAGAATAATGTGAAATACTTTGAAATTTTAACTGTTGTTTAAATTTATAGTCCAGAAAAACAAAACACTAACTTTACATAAAAAGACACATTCAAGAATTCTTATGATTACATCTTTCATATTTTTGTTCTTTTTTAATATATTTGTTAGCATCTCTTCTGGCCGGTAATTAAAATTCACCAATACACTTTCACTTGTTAAATATAAAGATATTTGCCAAGTCCAAAAACCTTAACATCCAAATATAATAAGTTTGTTTGATTCTGAAGATTAAAATGTTTGAGATAACCTAGAAATTGGAAAAAATACTGGAATTTAGGACTATTATTATTTTATTTTTATATATTACTTTCAATATATAATACTTAAAACTGACATAAGTTCAAGATTGAAGAACATTAAATTTTTTGAAAATCTCAGTTTAAAAATTTGGAAATTAACAGTTATTTTTATTTACTATTAATAGTAAATAAATACGAAAACACGGTTTCAAAAAACGAATCAACTAGTTATTTTTATATTAATTTTTATTTGGAAACAATCATCAACTGAATTCCTTAGCACTAATATGTATTTTATTCTACTTCCATATCATAAATAAAAATTTAACCTTTTTGCTAAATTTTCTGGAAAAAAAAATATCTAAATAAAATCTTTACTACAAACACTAAATAATCAGTTTTAATGAAAAAATAAAGTTATTTAGTTCAACACACAGAAAAAAAACACAAACTGTTACTTTTATTACATGTATTTTAACATATTCAATAGCTAATTTCATTATTCTATACAATCACCACCATGTCTAGCGTTTTCAACAATAATTTTATATTATTCGTGAAATTTAGTGACAATTGTTTTATAATGTAACGTGTTATCCAAGTCTGAACTATAATTTAGTCAATTTTTAACTATAAGTATAGAACTCAAAATCTTAATTTATTTTTATGTCCATAATGACATATTTGCAATAAGTTCAATACATTAACAAGGATTTAATTATGCACTAACCTCATATGCTGAAATACCAATTTCATTTTTTGCAATATCTTTATTATTTGAATTACATGGCAAAGGATTCTTTTTATGTATTTCTTTTCCTTCCTTTAGATAATCACATTCATCAGTATATGTAAATTGTAAGATCTGTTCAAATGTATCAGAAGTTACATCATCAACTGACATTGTCTGTAGTATTCCATTGGTAATTTCTTCAGAAATGAAAAGTTTCCGAAAATATTCACTTTGAGAAGCCAAAATATATTTATGTGCATGAAAATATCTACTTCCAACCTGAAAAAATAAATAAATAATATCAAAGAAATGTAACTTTCAATGCATTTTAGTAAATAATATTAGTAAAAAAAAAATGTTAATACTTTTATTATAACATCATGAATAATGTCTTCGGGATGCACACTTTGCAAAAGATGCAGAAAATTTTCTTGCATTTCTGAAGGTGGTAAAGTTGGTAATTCAGTTAAACTGCAAATTAATAAATTTCAAAAATATAAATTATTTGTAATTTTAAAATAATTTCTGTAAAAATAATTAAAAATGATTATTAATTTTTAAATTATCATTAAATTAATTAATGGAATAAAAGATTATTTTAGAAAAATTATGTTACATTAGAATTATTATTTATTAATTAATTTCCTTGTACAGTTAGTAATCTATTAATGCAGCAAATATGTTTCTTAAACACAGCACATTAAGAAAACATATGTTAAGTGAAAATCTATATCACATAAGAATATATTTAATGATAGTTTGACTGCATTCATAAGAACTGAACAAAACTCAAAAGAATCTCAGATATGTAGTTATCTATTCAATTCACAGGACAACAAGCCACAAGACTATGATACAAAAAAATCTATTTGCTGAATGACATCATTGTGCATTTTCCACTCAATAATATTAATGAAGACTTAAATCAGTCAACAATAATTATTTCCAAAAGAATACAGTTTCAAATAAACATTATAGCAACTAGTTCAAGAAAGACTGGAAAAATACAGTATGAAAGTGTAGTAAGGACACTGTCCACATAACATTAGTGGCTTTCCAATTGCATTATACTAAAAAAAATGAATTGATCATAATTAATAAACTGCATTAAAACAAGAATATACTAATGGAAAATGCATTAATCATCTGTAATATTCACATTCAATAACTAGAAAAAAAGTTTGTGAAGGAGACAAAAACTTATTCTTATTTCAGGTAAAATTTTTATTTATATATAGAGACAATCACTATTTCAATAATTGTAAATTAATAAAGCAATATACAGGCCCAGTTTAATTTTCATCACTCTTCTTAATGAAATACAGGTATCCCTCATATAACACGATAGTTATGTTCTGAAAAACTGCTATGTCATGCAAATCTGTGCTATATGAAACAAAGGACTAATGTAAAACATAGGATTATGTTCCAGAAGTTAGTAACAAAAAAAGAATAGTATGCTTTTGCTAAGAGAAATATGTTTATTAAAGCAATCAATAATTTATTTCCAATCAATAATTAACTAAAAATCACAATTAAAAGTACTGTATTGTGTGTTAATATTAATTTTAGTTAAACAAGGGCATTTTCTTTTTACAAAGTATCATCGTCATCTCAGCTTTTTTATAGATCTTGATCAGATGTATCGTCAACATTTTCATAATTTTTATCATTTATTTTTATCATTAAAAATATGTTATTAATTGATAGTATTTGTTCAGTCAAATACCAAGTGACTTTTTTCCCAGAATTTGTGTTTGAATACCGAATTGTTCAAGTACCAAGACACCACCATTTTCAATCATTTTTACAAAGGAAGTAATCATTTGTAGGTAAGTAATACTTATGGTTAAAAACAGTTTAATAACACTTACTTAAAAATTTTGAAATAAACTGTATTAAATGCTTAGATTAACTTATAAAAAGAAAACACAGTGACAGTGTTAAAGATTAAAGTCTGAAAGCATGTCTGAAATTTGTGTGAGTTTATTTACATTTTCAAGACATCTCTGATTTATTTATACAGTAGATACATGCACCTTCTTCATAATTTTTAAAAAAGCATATTCCTAAATTAATTTGAAGCAAAACAGTTTATAAAATTTTAATATTTTAAAATAAATTTTTTTATATTTGCAGTTTTATCAAACCCTCTCAAACTTTTAGAGCTTTCCAATGGTGTTGGTATTGGACCCTAAGGAGTCAATACCAACACCATTGGAAAGCCCTGGTTTAGATCTAGTTTTTCTGACTGACTTAAATAATTTCAAAATAATAAATTCTTGAATAACCTAAAAATTAAAAATGAATTTTAAATGAATACACACCCAATTTTTGGATGAGATTGGAGCACAGCAAAATTTCTTCCTTTTGAATCTGAAGTTATTTGAACTGCTCTATGAATTCCATGCAAACGTTTAATGCGTATTAGATCACACTCATCTTTATTTAGTAATGTATGTAAAGAATTGACCATCATTGACGATTTTGTATTACAAAGAATAGATGAACCTTTCTCTGCAGAATTTAATGAATTGTCTTTTGAAAAAGCAAGATTTCCTTGAAATCCTTCACCATCTTTTGTAATAAAGGAAATAACAGAATGTGTAACTTGAAGATCAGAAACAAATAATTGTCTTCCAATGTTGAAAAGACATCTTCTTAAAACAGGATATGATTCTCTCCATAAAAATATCTAGTAAAAAATATTTTAATATTTAATAAATTTTAAATATCAAAAAAGTATTACAATTATAAAACAACAATAATTTGAATAAAGCAAAAAATTATTTTGAGTACAAATTATTTGGTGTGTAAATGTTGTCAGGCCTGACTGGTTGGCCTATGCAAAACTCAACATATGGCAACCCACTTTAGTTAAAAGTTGTTGTTGTGTGGGTCCTGATAGAATGGCCATACACACACTAAAATCTCTAAATAAATTTACTTATACATAGTATGAAAAGTATAATAGCTTTTGATTGAGAGAAAGTTCACGTAATACCTGGTTAAAAACCAAAATGACTAGAACAAAAGTTGGAGAGTTCAGGAGATAGATTATTTGAGTCTTTCCTCTAACAGTAATTGGGTATGATGGAGCACTGGATGTAAACCATAGAGTTGGATTGGCAACTGAGTGATGGATAGTCATAACTCAAAGTCTCACATGATCTGATTCAATAGCTAGTGAGTGGTAGTTAGCCAATAGTTTGTTAAAGACCCTCATTTATTGGGTCCACCCTACTCTTCTTGATCCCTCTCGCTTTATCATGCTCCCCTTCTTTCTTTCCATGGGAAATTCTCATCTTATAGTCAAATCTTGAAATATTCCAAATAAAAAGTTTTCCCCTCCTCTAATGACAACTCAATTCTGGATTCTTACTGATGGCACATGGTTTACATCTTCAAAATGCTGATGAGTTGTCTTGCACAAAAGTATTGTTTACTTCCTGTGACCAATGTCTAGTAGAGTCCTTTTCTAGTTTTGATGTGATTAACAGAATTAGTCAAAAACAAATTATATAACAGATAAATATTCTGGACTCCCATAGTATTATTTGTTTAAAACAATTGGAATTTTCTGTACTCTTATAGCATCTTCACAAAAATTTTGTGAGGGCCTGGACTTGATGAAAAATTTTATTCAAAAAATTTTTCCAAAAGAGGAAAAAAAAATCAAAAGGAATATGATTATAGCCTTTCCCACAAACTTGCTTCCATGTCTAGAGGTGACACATCTGGATGTGTCACCCTAGAAAAAATTTGCTATTGGACATGGATTTTACAACTTACCAAAAAAGGACAAGAGTTACAAGACCCCAGAATAAAAGAACGGGTCCAATGTCGCAACAGAGAGTTCATCCATCCTCGATGGTTGGTCATATGTGCAGTAGGATACACTTTGCTGTGGATACTCTGCAATAGCCAGCGATCAGAAGCTTAACTGCTGATAGCTGATGACCCCAAGTACCCACCAAGAACTATAGTGTCTCCTCCACTGGAAAAAGCCCAAATCAAGACAGCAATCTTCAGGTAAATACCACGTGCAAATGTTTGTAAACTCTCTCTCTCACGCTTAAAGCTTATATGTGTAAATAGTTTATATAGTCAATAAACAGGTATTATTTTTCATAATCAAGTTGTAAAGTGCACTTCTTTTGCCCAATCCATCTCTATCCTGAGGCCAAGCACCTACAGATGCAACTACTCATGCAAAAAGGTTTCTGTGTCTGTCCTTAAGACACAACAATGTCAGTCCTGATGATGCAGTCATAGCAAATGCGGTATCAACCCTTTGGTCCCATGATGCAGAAGCATAGGGGTGCTTTGCACATTGCCACAATTCCAAAAAATCCCCCAGGCCACCACGGTATAAATTATTAATCAGCTGTAGATCAAAAGTGTTAAACTTTATTTTCTATATTGATATTCATGTAATTGTAGTTATGTATTTTATTTATCTAATATTGAGTTATAACAAACATTTTAAAAGAAATCATTAAATTATTTCATGTTAATATGGAAATAAGTCAGAAAATAAATTCATAAGGTACAATTATTATTCAAATATATAATAGTAGTTGATAATAATAAAATCAATGAAGTTTACTCTTACAAAAAGTTTAATAAATGTTTACATGACTTCATTGAATAATTATTTTATAACTGATAATGGTACAGAGTATATGTAATTGATAATGGTACAGAGTATTGATTGAGGCATAGCAGAGTAGTGATGCCTCTTCTATGTGGTTAACAAAATTGTGCTTGTTCTCAAAATTTGGTTGACTGATTTTGATTAAACTCTGCCATTTTCCATTAATTGAGAAGAAGAATCTAAAAATGTAATAAAAAATGGATGTCCATGACTTTGTTTTTGAGATACAAGATGGTAGCATGAGTGTGTACAACAAAGTGATATCCCACTGTTGCTAACACATCATCTATGGGTTATAGAATTGAGTTCACTTGATATTTTTGATAGGCTGATTTTCATAAAACTACCATTTTCCATTAATTGTAATGAAGAATTCAAAAATGGATAAGGTCATTTTAAATGTAAAAAACAGTGGTTCATGACTTTGTTGTTTTCAACATACAGAGTAGTGATAATATCTACGCTCTGAAGTGATTGAATGCACCTAACAGAATTTGGGGTCAAAAATAAAAACAGCATTGTGTGTATTTTTTTTTTTTTTATATACTCTTTCCACCCTGTGGGCACTAAGAGGGCCTCTTATAGCAGGCCCATTATGGGTTCGGCCAGGCCCACAATGGGGTGACCAGGTGGTAAGGGATGGGCCCAACATATCCAAATGGACCTCCCCAAAAAATTCCTGGGGATTCCTTGACCTGTCAGGATTCGATCCCGGGTCCCCCAGAGCGGTAGGCTGCCATCTTGACTGCTCAGCCATCCGGCCATCTATTGTGTGTATCTAATGGAAAATGAACAAAACACAAAACAAAGCAATCAATGGAGATTGCTTTGTTCTGGATCACCAGATATGAGAATAGCCTCTCCTGTACCTAAAAAAATGCAAGGATCGCTTCTTTCTTTCCAGCTCCACCTCAATTCTATCATAAACCAACAAAGTTGTGTTGTCCTAGTATAAATCATATGAGAAGTTTATAAAGCAGAATATTCTTTGAATCAATAGAATCTAATCTAATAGCAACAGTCTCAAAAACAACTGAAATGGTTGAATGACTAATCATTGATAAATTTCTAGTGATCATAAATGATATCCCAAAAATCTTTCCAATTCTAATAATTTCTAGAAAAATGTAAATTTATCAATGTGAATATATCTATATACTGAATTCAAATTTAATCATAAGCAAATAAGAAATATGAACCTAATATTTCTGGATAAAATAATTATTGATTTAATAATCACCAAGACATTAATCATTGTCTTTAGTCATGGAAAATATCATCATCTTATAGAGATAGCTTTTACCAGTTGTGATATAAAAGTTTTTCATATGATAAAACATTATTTCATTGACTAAAAAGATCATATCCAAATCTGTTCAAATTAATTAATAAATTATGAAGAGAGATAAATTTCAATGTATTAATTATACCTTTCCAGATCTTGTCAGTATAACAATTCGTAATTCAAAACCACCACCTTCCTTAACACTTGCTGCTTCACATCGAGCATCTAGATGTCCACCAACAACTGATAATTTTTGTATCTCTAATTGTCTGAAAAAATAAATCATTTGATTTTTATTAATTTTCTTGGATTATATAAAAAAATTTATAGGATATCAGCTTGAAATTTTATACTGTGATACTGAATTTATTAATAAAATGTTATTTGAATTAGAATAAATAGTAAAAAATACAATATCAGAAAGATTTATAAATTTAAAAAACAAAATTGTTAAGTACAAACCAACTATTTGATATATTGTAATCATTCATTCAGAAAAATAAAATATTGTGAGAGATTTCAATTGANTATATATTAAATTTTTTATATGTTATTAGTAAATATAAAAAATATAAATATTCATAAACATTATGCTTTAACAAATTCAAGGGTTAATGAAAATTACGCTTTCTAGTGACAATTTGCTACTGAGACTGATAACATTGACGAGTAACCCTCCCCCACATAAAACAAGACCATACAAGATTAGAATTTGCAAGCTCTTACTTTTTTAAAATATAAATTTTCATCTATAATAACATATCTTCTATTACCAGGACTTATTATACTGGCACTACAGAAATTATACTCTTATTTTTTTATTTGGTAAACTACCAATTATCAAATTGCCACTGCAATATATTAAATTTAAAATAATTAATATAATCTGGCATAGTTATTTAAAATTTTAACATGTTAAAAACAAACCTTGAAGCAATTTTGCGACACTGATATTCATGCAAGACAAACACATCGCCTTTATTTGTGGCACATACAGTAGCACCATCACTAGCAACAACATGAGTTATTTTCCAATCTTTATGGTCTAATGTTGACACTTGTCTAGGAGAAATTTGAGTTCGACTCCCTTTTGGATGACCTGTTTAAAAAAATTATTATTGTTTAATTTTATTTGTTGAGAATAATTAAATTTAAATGTCTTATTTATGACAATACAAAAAAGAAAAATCCATTAATAGCAATTATTTTCTTGGTTGTAATCTAGATATTAAATATCACTTGTTATTTCCTACATACACATGTTATTAAATATTAGAAAGAAAATTCCCAAAAATTATTTAAACTTAATTTTAAGTTTCAGTAAAAAGTAATTGAAAGGAAAAATTATAGCTACAAAAAAGAAATATGTCAATTATTATCTTTGCTAGAGATAGGCAGATATCATTTATCTCAAATTTGAGTATTAACTAGCTCTTAAATACATAAATATCCTAGATATTTAGTGAACTTGATTACCTTATATAACTTATTTAGTTAATAATTTATTTAATATTTATTGTTTAACTTGCTTTATTTATTCCAATAAAATAATTTACAAAATTTTAAGAAATAAAACTTCAAAATTTTAAACTACAAAAACAACCACTCATACCTTTAAATGCTGTGTCAATTTTACTTTTTCTAACACTTTCAGTCATTTTAAACACTCTTCCTCACGATAAAAACTTGCACTTTAAAAATAGAACAAAAGCTGTTCTCTAAAACAGAGGACAGCTTTTGTTCTATTTTATCCTGAGGAAGAGCATTTAAAATGACCAAAAATGTTAGAAAAAGTAAACTAGCACTGCATTTAAAGGTCTGAATGGTTGTTTTTATAGTTTATGACAAATGCAGTAAATTTTACTGCACAGTTCAAAATTTTAATTTTGACTTTGAATTTTAAATAGAGATGAGTGAATACTATCTGCAAACACTCAAATACTTTCTAGTATTTGGGCACAATATTGAAGATATTCTTAATATTACATTGATAAAAAACAAATTTGAATACTAAGATCTTGAATCTTAAATACTTTCTAATATTCAAAAGGTAGCATTCACCCAACTTTAGTCTTTGTACTTATTAACATGTTTTTTTTCTTTTTCTTTCAACAGAGAGAAGTTATTTTAAAATATTTTTAGTTTCAATTTTTTTACATTCTGATAAATATATTTATTTGAGTTTATATGCTGAATTGTATAATAACATCATTGGATGTTTTAATAAGTTATATTTTTACATTAAAAACTCTTATTAGTAAAATCTTGTTCTACAATTTTCCATTATCTTTCAGATAATTAATAAATTATATTAGTGTAAAAATTTTTAGTGCAAAATTAGTGCAAAATACTCAAACATGTGAATTTTGCTTTCTTCCAAGTTTGAATATTTTTCTAATAAGATAATTTTTCAAAAATTAAATGAATGGCATCACAAAATACATTAATTATTACATAAAGTTATTTACTTTTATATTAGTTTTCAATCTAATACAGTGGTTCTTAACCAATGTTCTGCAACCTGCCTAGAATGTTCCACAAAAAAAAATATTTTAAAGTTTTTATTGCAAATTTATTCCGATTGCCATAGAGACAATTCCATGTTTCTATTCTATTTCATACATTAAAGTTAGCATATTGGTTTATTGCTTCATTGTTTCCTGAGAATTGTACACATGGAATTGCTTATCAATTTTTGAATATATTGATGCTAATGCTCTGTATAATGAAAAGTACTGTATATGAATGGTGTTCCACAACCTCAGAAAGGTTGAGAACTGCTGTATCATACAGTACTAGATTCTTAAATTATGAGTAATCTAATCTGAAATTTAAATAAATATCAGTTTATATTATTGAAAAGTCAGTGAATTTAAGTAAATTTAAAATAAAATCCTCTAGATTAGTGGTTCAAAATTGGAATGCTCTTAGGAAATATCTTTAAAATCTGGGTATTTAGGATTGTTACACTATTCAAAAAGTCGCAACACCAGCATCAAAATCTCTGAAAAATATGTTAGCATTATTTTTGTGGCATGACATGCAAGACAAATTGTGCTATAACAGGCAATGTGTCAGAAGCAAGTTCTTGTAAAAAAATACTGTAAAAATCAATTATTAAATGAAATATTAATATAAAATTAATTACTTATTATAAAGAAAAAAATCTCAGCTTACCTAACTGACCAGCATTTAAACCAAAAGTAAAAACAGCATCATTTGTAAATAAGACTGTATGGTAACGTGCAGCACAAACTCCAATAAACTCTTGGTTTTTTATGAGTTTTAAAGTTATTGGACGAGGATAAAGTAGACGTTCTGGTGGTGGAACATGACCGAGTTGATGATATGTATTTAAGCCACAAGTCCATACCTAATATGATAAATTCATTACAAAATTAATTTTGGTTCACAATAATCACTAAACATAACATAGAACAAATATTTACTTGTATAAAATCAATATTTACAAATATTTATTTAAAATAAGCAAACTTTTATAACCAGAAAAATGTGATAAAAGCATGTCTGTTAAAATGGAATGCATTTGTACATGTTCTATTCTAAAATTCTTTAAAGTCATTCTAACTTTAAAATAATTTTTATAAGAACTCAAAATAATATTTATATATATATAAAGTATTTTCATCAATGAATTATCATATTTATATTTATCAGGCAAAAGACTTTTGTCAAAATGGAACAGAAAACAAGAATTTTCTTAAGTAAAAGATCAAAAAAATTTTTTAAATTTCTTCCTACCTGCACAGATGCTTAATGAATTTCTTAGTAAATAATTAAACAATAAGAAACATAAATTGATGCAAAAAATACATAAAGGAAAAAAGTTATAAAATTAACAACTTTTTAAGAATTATAATAATTAAAATTATAATTTTATAGTGCAAGGCCATCCATGGACATTGTAGATATAAACTAATTTTCTCACTTGTTAGAGCAATATCCAAAGGTCTAGAAGGTCAAGGGTTAGTTTATTACATGAATCATTAGTTGCCACATACTTTTTTTTTTTATAAAGTAAGTCTCCAAACTTCGTACACACATCTTGTACACTCACAAGAACTAATAATTTATGTATTTTAATAATTCTTAAATTTACATTACAGATCCAAATAATTTTCATGTCCTACTTTTCCTTAGAACTAAGATAAATGCCTCTATATTTATCAAATTAATATAGTAGCACTTAGCATTAAAGAAAACTATACTAATTTTGATTATCACAACTAACATTAACTTCTGTAAGCAAATGCAAATTCAGATCAGAATTCCGGTAAATGGTGAAATTATTGAACAGATGAATTCCTTTATCTATCTAAAGACAATCTCTTATCTCTTGTAGAGATAATGAAATCAAACTGACAAAATTTTAGCAGTTTACTAGGACAACAATCATTTCTCTATATATCAAGATCTGTAACTATATTACTAATGGAATATGTAGACTGTATGTAACTTACTCAGCAAATTATACCTATAGGTATAAAGTATGTTAGAATAAACATTGTTAACATAATTAATTTATTTTAATTATTTCCATTTTATTTTCACCCTAAATTATGAACTGACAAATGATGATATTTTTGGAAATATAGACAAAAATGACTAGATATTATTATAATCATCATTAAAAACTTACAAAATTTAAACAAATATTATATTGTTCGATTCAAAATTAGTAATTAAAATCCAGTTCAGAACAGCTGATGTGTTAAAAATTTAAACTGAAGAAGATTAAAAGCTATTACTTAGGCCGAAATTACACTATCATAAAAATGGCGTAAAACCTCTCGCTGTAAAAGCTTATAATCACGCAACCGATATTTTACGCCTGAGCAGGTCATAAAACTAGCGTAAAAGTGAGTTGAACACTGCTCAACTTGCTTTTATGCTGGTTTTATGACCTGATCAGGCATAAAATATCAGGGTCATGTGATTAAAAGCTTTTACAGCGAGGGGTTTTATGCCATTTTTATGGTAGTGGAGTCTTGGCCTTAAATAAAACTATCAATAAATTATTATTTCTAGCTTTAATTGTTTATTTCTTTTTATTATTAACTTCTTTTGATGCAAACCAAATATTATAATCAATATACGATTTAATTTTTTTTGTTTTTGTTTTTTTCAAATTTTTCTATTTTATTTGTAAATGCATTTCTTTTATATTTATCCATTATAATATAAATTTTGAAATAAAAAACAAACAAAAACAAAAAGAAAAAAAACAAAGAAAGATTAAAATACCTGGTTGCCTTCGGTTAATATGACCAAATGATCTTGACCTGCAGCAATCTCTTGACATATTGAGGTACCAAGACCTTTAATAACATGAGGTATTAGAACAGTTTGCTCTGAATTCTGTCCTAGGCGACCACCATGGCCATGTCCACATGTAAATACACGACCATCAGTTGAAAGAAATATACTATGAAATTTGCACATTACCACCTAAAATAAAAATAATTCCAAATAATTAAATTAAAATTTATTTATAAGATTTCCAAAACAAGTTTTCTTTTAAAGAAAATGCTTATAACTTTAAATCATATTTTTCATAATAAAGTAGAAACTCAATAATTTGCAATGTCTGGGACCAGGGGATAACTAATTATGAAAATTCAAGAATTATAGAAAATTCTAGGAACAATAATGAAAACACATTTTGAAATACTTTTGTAGCTTTAATTTATGTAACTTGTAACACCTAATAGCATTTATATATTTTAAGGAACGGGAAAAAATTTCAGAATAAAACATTAAAAAAATTTACCTGCTTGATATTGATATTTTCTCTTCTGAACTTATCAAGTAATTCTGGGTGATTTCTGCTTTGTTCATTTCCTAGACCTAAATTATAATTTGTATTACTTCCCCAAACATATACTTCTGATGGATCTGAAAATTTCAAAATATAAAAATTTTTATCTAAGTTATATTTGATTAAGTATTAAATAAAAAGTAAATAAATACGAATATAAAAATTTATTTTAATGAATGTAAGAATGTATACTGTATGTATATTGTATGAATGTAAGAAATCTATATATTTTTATGTTTAAATTTACATATTATTTTAACATTTTGTTTTGCTTGTTGTTGTTATAATAATAATGTCCTAAGATAACATTACAGTTATTTCAATTAATTTTTAATGTTTGAAATTGTGATTATTGTCTTGTACTGAAGAAAACTTCTGATTAAATATATTTTTATTATATACTACAAATTATTACTATATAAATATTCATACATACTATTCTTATCATATTCAATATACAGAGGTCTATCCTTAATTAAAATTTCCAGAGGTGTCAAGCCTTCATGATCATATATTTGTAGATTGGCTCCATACTAAAATATAAAAACATATATCTGTACAAAATTGTATCTCATATAATGTAAACTGTAAATCTGACAAAAACATGTAACTAATATATTTTAGGACGTTTAACTTCTTAAATTATTCAAAACCTTTAGAAAAAATATCAAAGTGAATTTAATAAAAATTTTTAAAAATTAACTTTGAAATAGAGACATGATTATCTACTTATTTGAATTCTGAACATTTATATTTTTTAACATTTTTAGGCCATTAGATTCAGTATTATAAAAACAAAATAAAAAATTAATTACTGTAATTAAAATGTCTTTAGGAAAGAGAAGTATTAGAAAAATATCATTTATTTTGAGACAGACTTCCATTACAAGTGGAAACTTTTACAGTTTACAAAATTCTTACCTTAAAACAAGGTGACAAAATTTTAAACTTTTTACAATTTTGTGAAAATATTTAATTATTATAACTTTTATATTTATTATAATGAGAAAAGAATGCAAGTGAATTACACATTCACTACATTTTCTAATGCAATGATACCTAAGCTATAGTCTCTGGACTAAATTCAGCCTATGGCACATGTTAATATGGCCCAGAAGCATATTGACACATCACTTTCAATTAAAAAAGTTTAGTTATTGCTGTTCTAATGCATAAGTGAAATACTGCATATTTTTAATGCTATTATTAATAATATTCACTTTATTTAAAAATTAATAAAAAATAAATTGTTTATTATATCAAATTTGAAATTCAAAACATAACATACTATAGCAAAAGAACACTCACTCTGATTTTCAAAAATCACATTCCACTGCTTTATTTAGAGAAAATTTTTTGAAAGAAGCTAGAGAGGACTGTGGGAAAAAAAGGTGCCTTTATCTGTAATAAGATGGTTTTTGATATGTTTTGAAACAAAATAAAAAAAATATATCCTTTAGACCGTCAGTCACCAAATGGTGGTCTGTGGACCATTGATGGTTCGCGAGAAAATCTGGGTGGTCCGTAGAGAAATTTGGGCATTGATCAACTGACAGTTACGCAAACTAATGAAATGCAAAATGCTTAGTTGTTTTTTATTCACTCATTGGGATTTTTTATTTGAATCTAAAACCAAATTCGAAATGACTGTTATCAATAAATAATGAACAATAAACAATATTGTGAGTGCTATTGTCGTCCTTCATGGAAAAGTGCTAATAATCCATAAACTTATTTCAAACAAGCAATAACAAACTTTTGGCTTGCATTAATTTGTTATAATTAAACAAGTGAGTTTCATATTAATATAGTAAAATTGAACTTTTATGGTCATTATTCTATAAATTTTGTATCATTTAAAAAAATTCATGAGAGTGGTCCATGGAATTCAAAAGTGTGAGTTTAATGGTCCGTGAGATCAGAAAGGTTGCAGACCTCTGCCTTAGACAACATGGGAGTCTATAATGTCCCTCTGAAAAAGAGAGGGAGGAGAAAGAATACAGTGGAACCTGGTTAACTTGAAGTTGCATTTATTCAAATTCATTTTCTTTCTCCAATCATCTAACATAACATGTTAAATCAAACTGGTTAACTTAAATTCCTCAAAACTTTATAACAAGTCCAAATTTTTTTCCCTGACCATTTCAAGTTAACCAGGTTTCACTGTATATGTAGGGATCACAAGATGTAACTTGAAGAGGATCAGGAAACATCAAGAGAACATAAAGAAATGTAGAATAGGAATGATTTTAGTGGCAACATATAGATAGTAGAGATATAGAAGTTTAATGGAAGAGAACAGAGTTAGTAATGGGGTTAGGAAAAGAGAATATCTCAATGGTGAAAAATATCTAGTAGTATAAGAAAGACGAAGTGGTTAATGTTTGAGATAATGAAGATTTTTCTGTGATGTAAAAATGGTTGTTAAATGAAAAGCAAAATAAATGGGGGTTGTAGAAAAAGCTATGATAACTAAAGGTGGGCAACCTGTCCCCTTTTCTTAAAATGTTCATCTGATATAAATTTTATATAGAGAATTCAAAATCAAATGTTCTTTCTGTTTGAAAGTTTATTTTTTTTAATGTAATGATTATGAAGTTAAGGGAAAGAATAGAAGGAAAAGAGAATGCTTTATTTTTAGTGTTTTGGTTTTATTTTAATTTTTTTCTATGCTTATTACAAATATAAACACTAAAGATGGAACACACCTCTGAATGCACTTGTGTATGAAGATCAATAATAAAGAATAACTCTGAATAAAGCAGTAGAATGCAGTTTTTCATAACATACTATTTCATACCATCAAAAGTTTTCTAGCTGTGGTAAGTTGTCCATAAAAAAGACTACGATGAAGTGCAGTCCATCCAGATTCTGCATCTTTCACATCTACTTCTGAATGGCATTTCTTAATTAACCATTCTATTAATCTCCATTTTCCACAAGCAGCAGCCATGTGCAATATATTTCTTCCTAACTTATCAGTAACACTGAAGAAATTGTGGCAAAGCCATCTACAGAATAATTAGTATTAATTTTTAAAATAAAATAAAAGTTATAAAATTAACAACTTTTTAAGAATTATAATAATTAAAATTATAATTTTATAGTGCAAGGCCATCCATGGACATTGTAGATATAAACTAATTTTCTNTATGTATTATAGTTATATGTAATTTGATACTTTAAACATTTAAAAGTTAACTTTAAAATTTTAATGTAATTGGTTATTAACTAACTACGTTCATCATTAAACTAGAGCTCCAAAATAAAAATATTACTAAATATTAAAAAAAAATGCTATGCAAATGTTTTGTATAGATATAATAAAACGATCTTGTTCTGAATATGTGCAGATAGCTGTACTATCATAAATAAATATGAGATTTAAAAATACCAAATGTCACAAACATTAAAAACATAAATAATCATGTTTTCAAAGTCAATTGTAATACTGTACAACAACAAATGAAACAATATGATAATTTAATTTACAAATATCCATTATCACAACTATACTAATAAAATACTAAATTAATTCTTTCAATTTTGAACTTTTTAGAAATGAATTATTAAATATTTCTAAAAATAAATAAAAATGAACTTACCTGCAATAGGCTTGTATTTCAGCATTGTCACCTCTTGTAACTGCTGCTAAAATTTTAGAAGCATGAATTTGGGAACGACACTTTAGTGTGCAATCTAATTCCCATGATAAACCCGTTAAGCTATCTGGATGACTCATTTTATTACACTTACATATCTTCACTAATAGGAGGCATGTCACACACTTATAGACTTCAAATAACTTGTAATTTTGACATTTAATAACAACATAAAATATTTCAATATTGTAAAATTAATAAAATGTTTTCAAATTAAAATGCATTACTATAGTCCAGTTAATTTAGAAAAAGTGCCTTATTTTTTTATTAATAGTTCATTGCAGTGATTGATGGAAAGAATATATAATATTCACTTATGTATTTCCATGGGAAAATTTCACAGAATTTCAGCACCCCAAGAGGGGATGCATTATTATTGATTCTTTTACTGAGCCATAATTTGATGAGAATTTCTGTAAAAAAATTAAGACAAATATATAATGAATTCATAGCAAAATATATTTATAAACTAAATTATATCTAAATGTCATATGTTTTTTAATTAGTTTCTGATTCAGAAATTTCCAGAATATTTTAAAATTTTTCTTGTCTCCAGTCTCAGGATAAACAGCTCAGGACTCAAAATTTTATAAAATTAAATTTACAGATTAAAACAAAATAGTATCAAATTTATTACAAACTAATGACATTATTTAATGGCTCTAATATATACATATAATATTATATGTTTTTTTACATCTATTTGAATTTATTTTAAATATAGTAAGTGCAATAATTAATATGACTATAAATTAAGTGCAACAAAACAGTCATAAGTAATCTAGGAAGAGCTCAGAGGAAAAGCATTTGACTACAGATTACAAGGTCCTACAGATTACTAGTCCAGATTGGGATACCATTGTCAAGTTAGTCCGCCAACTTTAAAAAATTTTTTATGAAATTGTTGGTACTTGTTAGTCACTTAAAATCAAATATTAGTGAATAGTTGCAAATACTTTTAACCTGAGCCAATTAATAAATTGAGTAAAAAGTTATAGTTTTTTATTCAAAGAATTTATTGAAGAATATACACGATTTGGCCTAAAAAACCAGCCCACATGCGAGATTTCTTAAAAGGATGAGATTTTAAAAACACTTTATGAAAATATAATGTGTTTATCAATTTTTACAGTACATGTTAAAATATATGTCTCAAATATATCAAGTCCCATTTGTCAATAACCACCTACTTCCATTGTAGATCAAGATAACCCATGATAAATATGGAATAAACAAAAACAAAAACACTGAGTTCGGCGTTATATGCGTTTTATTATCGCTAGTACTTTCGACGAGCTTATTGTCGTCGTCCTCAGGCGATAAATATGGAAGAAAAGGTACTGTACTCTAAGGAAAAAAGTAAAAATACCAGAAGTATATTATATTTAAACTTAAAAGTGAATATTGTTTGCATTTGATATTTGTTAATTTTCATATTCAAAATATAAAATATGCAAACTTCAAATTATACAAATTCATACTAAAAGTTGTATTTTTGTGCATAAAACCTGCAGATTACCTGTGTTTAAATAACTCTAAAACATGATGTGGCTTAAATGATGGAGTAGATTATAGGTTGACTTTAAATTGCAATTACAGGTAACCCCCGTATAACACAGGAGTTACGTTCCAAAAATTTGCCATGTTATGCGAATCCGTGTTATACGAAACAAAGAACTAGTACAAAAAGAGGGGTTAGGTTCCAAAAATTAAAAAAACATGCTGTTAAATCCTTATTTAAATTGGATTTATTATTCATTTTTTTCATAGGTAAAATACATATTTATTATTTAAGTAAATATTTTACCAGAGGATTATTCATCCTATATGATGATCTCAGCACGAGCATCATCAACTGGTAACAGTTTTTGGGTGTGTTCATTAATAGCGGTTGCTCTGCAATGGGAGTACGCTGCTGTTTATAGACATTTAGAAACGATGTTGAATGAAAGACAGCAGCGTTTGCACTATTGATAGTATCGTGATAGAGAAATCTATAATTCTAAAATGAGCTTTTAGAGGCGAAAGAAGAGTCCTAATTATAAAATTTAACCATTAAATGGATTATTTGTTGAAAGAGCATTCAAAGTAGCCACGAAAACAATTAGAATGCTCGCATGGAGTTACACGGAAGTATAAAAGAATGCACTTTTTATTACATTTCATTTTTTTTTTTTTACCTAATTCCCGAGCCGTGTTACAGTGAATCCATGCTATAGAAGTGCTGTGTTATACGGGGGTTACCTGTACAAGCTTGCACCTTTGGAGCAACAGATGTTCTTATGTGCAAGATATAGAGTGGGGCAGGTTATACAAAGATTTTATTTTTGTTCTAGCAATTTTCTGTGGTTTATACATTAAAAAGTATGGATACTATATTTTTTAAACACTAATTCAATTATGAGTTGAAAGGAAATAATAGTGAATTTGAACTATCCAATCAATTCAAATTAACCAGATTTATTTGTATATATAAAATAGTATTTAATTACTGTAGGAATATAGAAGTTCTTGAAAAAAGTTTATACAATAGATTCATATTATAATTGTAATCACAAATATTAGTTGATAATGTTATCAGAATTAGCAAGTCTCAAAGCATTAAGTTAAAACTTACTATAAAAAACTGCATATTATAATTAGAATTTCATTATATTTATTAACTTGAAATAAATAGGCATTTTAAGTTAGCTGATAACATGCAATTGTTTTTGGTTATCATTATCAGTCTTAAAAATTGTTTTAAATGTTAAATAATAATCATTTTAACCATTGTTTGCTCACCATACACACTTTAAATTGTATTTCTTACTTCAATTACATGCTTACTGTTGTTAAAGATGTATGCTAGCTAATTTTTGCAGTACTAACTAGATGAATTATATATTACCAGTAATTAATAAACCTTAAAGTTACACTATACGTGAACAAACTGGAAATGTAGGATAAATTAATTCAATACCTTATATGTTTCAGCAAAAACAAGATTTAATCAAAAATCAAATGTTTTCTTCCTTATTCAATAGACCTCCCTCAGGTTACAATCTTCTAGAGTGTGTTCTAAAATTAACCTTTCAATTCTAGAACATAGACTTAAATGTTCATGTTTGCTTTTAGACATATAGTCAACAAAAAGATTAAATTAAAGTAATTAAACCCAAACCTTCAGAAATATAAAACAATATTAAAGTTTCTAAAAATTTTCTATACTGAAGTAGCTTTTACAGACTTCGATATAGAAAATTTTGAACAGCCTATGCAATTCAAAATTTTCTGGACTTCTTTTAAATTGAAAAAAGTAGATTTAAAATTACATTTGAAAACCATTACAAGTACAGTGGTACCTCAGGATACGAATGCCCCAGCATACGAAATTTTCAGGATACGACATAAAATTTGAACATAATTTTGCTCCGCGGTACGAACAAAAACTCACCATACGACGTTACATTAGTATGCAGCACCATTTTTTATTCACTTCTGTTCATTGGTCTCAGTCCGCGTGTTTGCTTCGTTGTGGAAGGATCTCGCTCGATAAAAGAAATCTTGAGGTATTATCAGAAAGTGACTGATTTTATTGCAAAGAAACATCCCGACAAGGTTCACACTGGCCGTATTGCTGCTCGGAGTAATGACATTTGCCTAAGTCATTTTAGAAACATTTTAAAAAGTAGGCAAAGCCAAACCTCTTTGGATAGATATTTTACCAAGCGACCTCTATCCAGTGAAAGTGCTGGTGGAAGTGAAGGAAAGAAAGCAAAAAGCAGTGAATAAAAATTTAAAAAAATATATATAAAACAACACTAATTTTTTTAATCTTTTCTAAGTTATTTTTAAGTTATTGTTACATTATGTTATGTAAGTTAAGTTTTAGTATCATTTCCCTTCTCCCTCTCTTCCGCCACCAGTTTACACCTCCACCATCGTCTATCCTCAAAGGTAAAGTGCAAATAAAACTACATTTTTTTATTAATTATTATTCTATTATGGTTATTTATACATTTACAATTACAAAATGCATTTTTCAGTGTTTTCCTTACTAAAGTTATTTTTTTTCAATGTACTACTTAGCTTTAATTTGAGTGTGTTTTTCGTGTCGGAACGAATTATTTGGTTTTACATGTAATCGTATGGGAAAAAATGATTCACCTTACAACATTTTCATGATACGATCTCAGTTTCGGAACGAATTAATTTCGTATCCTGAGGTACCACTGTAATTTCGTGTATCCTCTGAAAATGCTTTGTGCACTCCCAGGAGAACATAAACATTAGGTTGGGAAACACTGTTTTATATCATTTTAATCTGTTAAAAAGAGTTGATCTAAGCAGAGAATGGTCAGATGTTTGACATGCGATGCAGTTTTGCTGATTAAAAAAACATTTATAAAATAAATGTTTTTAATCAGCAAAACTAAATGATAATTTAATTTATTGGTATTTATTTATCAACTTGGTATCAAGCATTGTAAATTTATGATAAAATTTTCTTAATTTTAAAAGCATTAAAAATATAGAAAAAATGGTACCAATTAATCTACAAATAGGAAGTGAAAATGTAGAAAATAAAACAGATATAAAATAATAATACAAAGCTATAAATTACATACATCAGATATATTCAAGTTTGTGTTTATATCATTTAAAATTATATATGCAATTTCTTAAAGATTAAATACAGTTTTGCTAACATTATTACATTTTTAACACATGTAAAAAAAAACCTATATCCAGATGACACAAATTTACTGTATAAGTTTGGCATATATTGTAATCTAAATATATAAAATTGCTTGTCCTGACTGACTGAAAGATTCACTTACTGATTCATCATCGCCCAGAGCAGACCACTTAACCTAAAGAGGTGAAATTTGGTACACAGTTAGGGTACATCATGGAAACACACATTAAGAAGGGATTTTTCAAAATTCCTCCACAGGGGGAGAGGGATAGCATTAAGGCTTAACCGGAACAACGGCTTCTACTGTACTATTTTAGATGTGATTTTTTGTTTTTATCTGCGTTTTAGTAGAGTATGCCATGGGAACGCACACTAAGAAAGGATTTTTCGAAATTCCCCTGCGGGCGGGAGAGGGAAAGGATTTAGTCTTCATCGAATACTTAGGTGTATTAAATTAATAACATTTCAGACATTGTTATAAATATTTTTATCTATTTCAATTTTAAAAATGTTCGAACCATTTTAAATTCGAATTTGTTATTGCATATTGGTTCGATTATAGAACAATTGTAAACGTTCCAGAAAATTGATCAAATTGAAAATAGTTCGTTTGATTCTCGGCAATTCTCATCATTCTCAGCAGTAGGTGTTATATAACAATTACTACAGTGGTTGAAATACTGAATATAAATGGGGTTTGCTTGCAAAATCTGCGCAGGCAAAGCCGCGAGTAACAGCTAGTTAAAGATATAACTGCATCTTAACAAAAGTTTTTTTTTTATCATTCTGTATTTTTTTCTTAACAGAATGAGTTTTGTCACAGTGACATTTAATCACATACTTTTTGCCGGTGCAGTCTTTAATTGCCAAACTTTTGCTCATTCTTACAGCAATGAATTAACAACAGTTTGGCAAGCGAAAAGCATTCAGGTGTATTATACTGATTTTCAGACTGTTGAATATCAGAATATCATTAATATGATTTCTATAATAAAGACAATAGGACTATATAGTCCTTATAGTACTATAACATGTATTATAGTTTATTTATTGTGTAATTGTTATAAAAACAATTATTTTACCTTACATGATCATTATAATAAAGAGATATTTATTATAATTTATCAATAATTTAAATAATTATCAACAAAATATTAATAAACTTACTCCCTTATGGACTGTCAAAGTATTTTACGTCTAAGTCGATTGCATTAAAACTCATTACAGCAATAGCACAAATCATAATTCTCTACGTCTTAAATACTTGATTTATTTAATATTTACTTCACAATAAACTGAAATAATTAAAAATAACGTTTATAATCTTCAAGGATATAACTTTCCCGTCTGATGTAGCACTATATTTAGCAAGTCTCAAAGCATTAAGTTAAAACTTACTATAAAAAACTGCATATTATAATTAGAATTTCATTATATTTATTAACTTGAAATAAATAGGCATTTTAAGTTAGCTGATAACATGCAATTGTTTTTGGTTATCATTATCAGTCTTAAAAATTGTTTTAAATGTTAAATAATAATCATTTTAACCATTGTTTGCTCACCATACACACTTTAAATTGTATTTCTTACTTCAATTACATGCTTACTGTTGTTAAAGATGTATGCTAGCTAATTTTTGCAGTACTAACTAGATGAATTATATATTACCAGTAATTAATAAACCTTAAAGTTACACTATACGTGAACAAACTGGAAATGTAGGATAAATTAATTCAATACCTTATATGTTTCAACAAAAACAAGATTTAATCAAAAATCAAATGTTTTCTTCCTTATTCAATAGACCTCCCTCAGGTTACAATCTTCTAGAGTGTGTTCTAAAATTAACCTTTCAATTCTAGAACATAGACTTAAATGTTCATGTTTGCTTTTAGACATATAGTCAACAAAAAGATTAAATTAAAGTAATTAAACCCAAACCTTCAGAAATATAAAACAATATTAAAGTTTCTAAAAATTTTCTATACTGAAGTAGCTTTTACAGACTTGGATATAGAAAATTTTGAACAGCCTATGCAATTCAAAATTTTCTGGACTTCTTTTAAATTGAAAAAAGTAGATTTAAAATTACATTTGAAAACCATTACAAGTACAGTGGTACCTCAGGATACGAATGCCCCAGCATACGAAATTTTCAGGATACGACATAAAATTTGAACATAATTTTGCTCCGCGGTACGAACAAAAACTCACCATACGACGTTACATTAGTATGCAGCACCATTTTTTATTCACTTCTGTTCATTGGTCTCAGTCCGCGTGTTTGCTTCGTTGTGGAAGGATCTCGCTCGATAAAAGAAATCTTGAGGTATTATCAGAAAGTGACTGATTTTATTGCAAAGAAACATCCCGACAAGGTTCACACTGGCCGTATTGCTGCTCGGAGTAATGACATTTGCCTAAGTCATTTTAGAAACATTTTAAAAAGTAGACAAAGCCAAACCTCTTTGGATAGATATTTTACCAAGCAACCTCTATCCAGTGAAAGTGCTGGTGGAAGTGAAGGAAAGAAAGCAAAAAGCAGTGAATAAAAATTTTTAAAAATATATAAAACAACACTAATTTTTTTTATCTTTTCTAAGTTATTTCTAAGTTATTGTTGCATTATGTTATGCAAGTTAAGTTTTTAGTATCATTTCCCTTCTCCCTTTCTTTCGCCACCAGTTTACACCTTCACCGTCGTCTATCCTCAAAGGTAAAGTGCAAATAAAACTACATTTTTTTATTAATTATTATTCTATTATGGTTATTTATACATTTACAATTACAAAATGCATTTTTCAGTGTTTTCCTTACTAAAGTTATTTTTTTTCAATGTACTACTTAGCTTTAATTTGAGTGTGTTTTTCGTGT